CGGAAAATTCGAGGAAAAACTGGATAAAAATGTAAACAATGTTTTTTTAAAAAAAAAAGAAGAATAAAAATCCTTGACTTATAAAAAAGAAGAACAGAAATCCAAAGCCTACTTGAGTTATTAGCATTTTTCAAAAAAAAAGCTTAAGTAGGCTTTATATTTTTTGTTCTTCCTTTTTCACAAAGTTCTTTAAAGTTTAAAATCTGGTTCTAGTGGTAAAAAAGATGACGTCATCAGTATGCCTCAACATAATGCAAATCTCCATAAGGCACTCTAAATGCGTCATCAAGTTACCCATTACCAGACAACCTATGAACTTTAAAAACATTGGTGTTAAGTTTGCAAAATCTCTTAGTTAAGCAAGGATATTACAATTGATGACGTCACTAAGAGACTAATCAAATAATTAGAATTTAATTAAACAAATCATTTATGGGATTCAATTAACATGTTAAGTTCAAGGTTAATTAAAATGAGGTTGCCTGATAACTCTTATTTACTTTTATTATTTTACAGCGTTGCCACTGTTTGTATTTTTTCTTGGAATTTTTAAATTTCGTGTTATAGGCTCGTGAGTCTGTTTTTTGGATTTTTAAATTGTCAATAACGTCAAAATAAGTCAAATTTTTATTGTATTACAGTGTTGCCAGTGTTGGTTTTTTTTCTTGGAATTTTAAAATTTCGTGTTATAGGCTTGTGAGTCTGTTTTTTAAATTCTTCAATTGTCAAAACTGTCAAAATAAGTGAAGTTTTTATTATTTTACAGCGTTGCCACTGTTTGTGTTTTTTCTTGACATTTTTAAATTTCGTGTTATAGGCTTATGAGTCTATTTTTTGGATTTTTTAATTGTCAAAAATGTCAAAATAAGTGAAGTTTTTATTATTTTACAGCGTTGCCACTGTTTGTGTTTTTTCTTGAAATTTTTAAATTTCGTGTTATAAGCTTATGAGTCTGTTTTTTGAATTTTTAAATTGTCAATAACATCAAAATAAGTCAAATTTTTATTGTATTACATACAGTGTTGCCAGTGTTGTTTTTTTTTCTTGAAATTTTAAAATTTCGTGTTATAGGCTTGTGAGTCTGTTTTTTAAATTCTTCAATTGTCAAAACTGTCAAAATAAGTGAAGTTTTTATTATTTTACAGCGTTGCCACTGTTTGTGTTTTTTCTTGACATTTTTAAATTTCGTGTTATAGGCTTGTGAGTCTATTTTTTGGATTTTTTAATTGTCAAAAATGTCAAAATAAGTGAAGTTTTTATTATTTTACAGCGTTGCCACTGTTTGTATTTTTTCTTGGAATTTTTAAATTTCGTGTTATAGACTTGTGAGTCTGTTTTTTAAATTTTTTAATTGTCAAAAATGTCAAAATAAGTGAAGTTTTTATTATTTTACAGTGTTGCCACTGTTCGTATTTTTTCTGGGAATTTTTAAATTTCGTGTTATAGGCTAGTGAGTCTGTTTTTTGGATTTTTAAATTATCAATAACGTCAAAATAAGTCAAATTTTTATTGTATTACAGTGTTGCCAGTGTTGGTTTTTTTTCTTGGAATAGTAAAATTTCGTGTTATAGGCTCGTGAGTCTGTTTTTTGGATTTTTTAATTGTCAAAAATGTCAAATAAGTGAAGTTTTTATTATTTTACAGCGTTGCCACTGTTTGTGTTTTTTCTTGAAATTTTTAAATTTCGTGTTATAAGCTTATGAGTCTGTTTTTTGAATTTTTAAATTGTCAATAACATCAAAATAAGTCAAATTTTTATTGTATTACATACAGTGTTGCCAGTGTTGGTTTTTTTTCTTGAAATTTTAAAATTTCGTGTTATAGGCTTGTGAGTCTGTTTTTTAAATTCTTCAATTGTCAAAACTGTCAAAATAAGTGAAGTTTTTATTATTTTACAGCGTTGCCACTGTTTGTGTTTTTTCTTGACATTTTTAAATTTCGTGTTATAGGCTTGTGAGTCTATTTTTTGGATTTTTTAATTGTCAAAAATGTCAAAATAAGTGAAGTTTTTATTATTTTACAGCGTTGCCACTGTTTGTATTTTTTCTTGGAATTTTTAAATTTCGTGTTATAGACTTGTGAGTCTGTTTTTTAAATTTTTTAATTGTCAAAAATGTCAAAATAAGTGAAGTTTTTATTATTTTACAGTGTTGCCACTGTTCGTATTTTTTCTGGGAATTTTTAAATTTCGTGTTATAGGCTAGTGAGTCTGTTTTTTGGATTTTTAAATTATCAATAACGTCAAAATAAGTCAAATTTTTATTGTATTACAGTGTTGCCAGTGTTGGTTTTTTTTCTTGGAATAGTAAAATTTCGTGTTATAGGCTCGTGAGTCTGTTTTTTGGATTTTTTAATTGTCAAAAATGTCAAATAAGTGAAGTTTTTATTATTTTACAGCGTTGCCACTGTTTGTGTTTTTTCTTGAAATTTTTAAATTTCGTGTTATAAGCTTATGAGTCTGTTTTTTGAATTTTTAAATTGTCAATAACATCAAAATAAGTCAAATTTTTATTGTATTACATACAGTGTTGCCAGTGTTGGTTTTTTTTCTTGAAATTTTAAAATTTCGTGTTATAGGCTTGTGAGTCTGTTTTTTAAATTCTTCAATTGTCAAAACTGTCAAAATAAGTGAAGTTTTTATTATTTTACAGCGTTGCCACTGTTTGTGTTTTTTCTTGACATTTTTAAATTTCGTGTTATAGGCTTGTGAGTCTATTTTTTGGATTTTTTAATTGTCAAAAATGTCAAAATAAGTGAAGTTTTTATTATTTTACAGCGTTGCCACTGTTTATATTTTCTTTTGGAATTTTTAAATTTCGTATTATAGGCTTGTGAGTCTGTTTTTTGAATTTTTTAATTGTCAAAAATGTCAAAAAAAGTGAAGTTTTTATTATTTTACAGCGTTGCCACTGTTTTAAATTCCATGTTATAGGCTTATGAGTCTGTTTTTTGGATTTTTTAATTATCAAAATAAGTAAAGTTTTTATTATTTTACAGCGTTGCCACTGTTTGTATTTTTTTCTGGGAATTTTTAAATTTCGTGTTATGAAAGACTAATCAAAATTTATTCAAACAAGGATTTAATTTACATGTTAGGTTCAAGGTTATTGAAAACGAGGTTGCCCGATAATTTTTATGACGTCATCTGTATGCCTTATCGTAATATGCAAATCTCCATATGCGTCATCAAGTTACCCATTACCAGACAACCTATGGGGTTAAATTTGCAAAATCTCTCGATTAGGCAAGGATATTACAATTAATGACGTCACTAAGAAACTAATCAGTTTAAGGTTGGCACTCCAAAAATAATAACCTGGTAAAAACTTTACGGTTATGTCGAAATAAAACGAAGTTGATGCGGCAACATTGCGACATGTCAACGTCATAAATTTTCATTTCTCATAAAACGAATAATTTTTTTGTTGACATTTATGACGTCATTTTGAGGCAATTGTTAAAATTCACTACGATTTTTTGAAGCATTTTGTTAACATCTAAACACAAACATTCACCACCAATGACATTTTTGACACTTTGAGGCAATTGTTTTCAACTCGTTTTTGAAAAAATCGAATTTGAAAATTTCTATCAAATCTCAAGTTTCCCAGAAACTATTTTGACAATCAACTGACACTTTGACAAGGTCGGTGTCGTGACGTCGAAAATTTTCAAAAGCGATTTTTTGACGTTTGACGAAAAAGTTGAAAATCAGGTTAACCTCCTCTAGTCAAAAATTCTACAGGGCGTTTTAAAAGTTTTTTTTTTGACAAATGTCAAATTCGATTTTGACAGAACAACTTTTTTGTTCTTCTTTTTTATAACTCAAGTAGGCTTTGGATTGGTATATTCTTCTTTTTTTTTTTCAAATCTTGTTTGGCAATCGATAACCGTCAAAGGAGGCTTTGGAATGTTTCTTCTTTTTTTTGTTTTTTGACAGTTGGTAGTGGATTTTTATTAATAGTCACGCAAACTTTGATTATTTCCGGCGTTTGAGTGGCCAATAAAGAGACAGCGATATAAGACAAGGTTATTTGAAACAAGGTTGCCTGATGATAACATTTATGACGTCATCGGTGGTGCCTCAACATCTCCAGATGCGTCATCAAGTTACCCATTATCAGACAACCTATGAACTTTAAAAACCTTGGTATTAAATTTACAAAATCTCTTGATTAAGCAAGGATATTACAATTGATGACGTCACTAAAAGACTAATCAAATAATCAAAATTTAATTAAACAAATCATTTATGGGATTCAAATAACATGTAAAGTTCAAGGTTATTTAAAACGAGGTTACCTGATAACTTCTATGACGTCATCTATATGCCTCAACATAATGCAAATCTCCATAAGGCACCCCAGATACGTCATCAAATTACCCATTACCAGAAAACCTATAAATTTTAAAAACCTTGGTATTAAGTTTGCAAAATCTTTTGGTTAAGCAAGGATATTACAATTGATGACGTCACTAAGAAAGGAAATTTTAAATCAATTTTTTTCAAACAAATCGACAAATTGCGGTTATTACATGTCAAATTTACTCAAATGTCAAAAAATCTAGTACCAACTGTCAAAAAACCAAAAAAGAAGAAATATTCCAAAGCCTCCTTTGACGGTTACCAATTGCCAACAAATTTAAAAAAAAAAAGAAGAATAAAATTCCAAAGCCTCCTTTATTAAGAATCAATTGTCAATAAGTTTTGAAAAAAAAGAAGAACGTAATTCCAAAGCCTCCTTTGATGGGAAAAAAAGAAGAAATCGACTTTTTCAACCCTAATGGACTCGTGTATCGATAAATTAACGTTAATAGAAACTCATAAAGCTCACTTAGAGAATCATTTAATAAAAAAAGAGGGGAGAAAATCATCCCCTAGAGAAAACACCCTCCCCCTAATGAAAACCGCAATAAATAATGAAAAAAACCCCAAACCAGAGAGGGTCAATATCGATAAATAAATTATTCATAATAATTCAATATCGATTTAATTTCAGGTTCGGATTTGGACGATGACGACACGCAAAATTCCGATTCCGGCCCGAAAACGCGCAGGCGCAGAACCGCGTTTACGAGCGAGCAACTTTTAGAGCTGGAGCGGGAATTTCACGCTAAAAAATACCTTTCATTGACCGAGCGGAGTCAGATCGCTTCCGCTCTAAGGCTGAGCGAAGTTCAAGTAAGTCGATACTGTATCGAAAATTTTCGATACCTTGAAAATTTGATAGAAAAAGTTTCATATGATTATCTTGAGCAATTCTTGAGATATTCAAGTTTGTATCGGTATCGAAAATTTTCGATAGTTTGAAAATCGATAGTTCTGGTTCAGAATTTGATTCTCTACAAGATGGAAAAAGTTTCATTCGATTATCTTGAGCGGTTCTTGAGATATTGAACTTTGTATCGGTATCGAAAATTTTCGATAGTTTGGAAATCGATAGTTCTGTTTCAGAATTTGATTCTCTACAAGATGGAAAAAGTTTCATTCGATTGCCTTGAGCGGTTCTTGAGATATTGAACTTTGTATCGGTATCGAAAATTTTCGATAGTTTGGAACTCGATAGTTCTGTTTCAGAATTTGATTCTCTACAAGATGGAAAAAGTTTCATTCGATTGCCTTGAGCGGTTCTTGAGATATTGAACTTTGTATCGGTATCGAAAATTTTCGATACTTTGGAAATCGATAATACTGATTCAGAATTTGATTTTTTACAATATGGAAAAAGTTTCATTCGATTATCTTGAGCAGTTCTTGAGATATTGAACTTTGTATCGGTATCGAAAATTTTCGATAATTTGGAAATCGATTATTCTGATTCAGAATTTGATTCTCTACAAGATGGAAAAAGTTTCATTCGATTATCTTGAGCGGTTCTTGAGATATTGAACTTTGTATCGGTATCGAAAATTTTCGATAATTTGGAAATCGATTATTCTGATTCAGAATTTGATTCTCTACAAGATGGAAAAAGTTTCATTCAATTATCTTGAGCGGTTCTTGAGATATTGAGCTTTGAAGTTGTAGCTCAAATTCTGAACCCGGTATCGAAAATTTTCGATAGTTCGGAAATCGATAATTCTGATTCAGAATTTAATTATCTAGAAAATGGAAAAAGTTTCATTAAACCAAAAATTGACATCTCGCTCAGAGTCTGAGCTACAACTTTGAAGCTCGATATCTCGAGAACCGCTCAAGATATCTGAATGAAACTTTTTCCATCTTGAAGAGCGACAAATTCTGAATCAGATTCAATCGATTCTCGAACTATCGAAACTTTTCGATACTTCAATCTAATTCAGAATTTGATTCTCTACAAGATGGAAAAAGTTTCATTCGATTATCTTGAGCGGTTCTCGAGATATTGAGCTTTGAAGTTGTAGCTCAGATTCTGAACCCGGTATCGAAAATTTTCGATAGTTCGGAAATCGATAAATTTGATTCAGAATTTGATTTTCTACAAGTTTCATTTGAAAATTTTAAACCAAAAATTGACATCTGGCTCAGAATCTGAGCTACAACTTTGAAGCTCGATATCTCGAGAACCGCTCAAAATATCTAAATGAAACTTTTTCCATCCTAAAGAGCATCAAATTCTGAATCAGATTAAATCGTTTCCTGAACTATCGAAAATTTTCGATACTTCAATCTGATTTAGAATTTGATTCTCTACAAGATGGAATAAGTTTCATTCGATTATCTTGAGCGGATCTTGAAATATTAAAGTAGCTCAGATTCTGAACCCGATATCGAAAATTTTCGATAGTTCGGAAATCGATAATTTTGATTCTCTACAAGATGGAAAAAGTTTCATTCGATTATCTTGAGCGGTTCTTGAGATATTGAACTTTGTATCCGTATCGAAAATTTTCGATAGTTCGGAAATTGATAATTCTGATTCAGAATTTGATTCTCTACAAAATAAAAAAAGTTTCATTTGAAAATTTTAAACCAAAAATTGACATCTGGCTCAGAATCTGAGCTACAACTTTGAAGCTCCATATTTCGAGAACCGCTCAAGATATCTAAATAAAACTTTTCCCATCTTAAAGAGCCTTACATTTTTGAATCAAATTAAATCGATTCCTGAACTATCGAAAATTTTTGATACTTCAATTTGATTCAGAATTTGATTTTCTACAAGATGGAAAAAGTTTCATTCGGTTATTTTGAGCGGTTCTTGGGATATTGAGCTTTGAAGTTGTAGCTCAGATTCTGAGCCCGGTATCGAAAATTTTCGATGGTTTGGAAATCGATAATTCTGATTCAGAATTTGATTAAAAAAGTTTCATTTGAAAATTTTTAACCCAAAAATTCATATCTGACTCAGAATCTGAGCTACAACTTTAAAGCTCGATATTTTGAGCACCGCTCAAGATATCTAATGAAACTTTTTCCATCTTAAAAAGCATCAAATTCTGAATCAGATTGGATCGAATCCTGAACTATCGAAAATTTTCGATACTTCAATTTGATTCTCTACAAGATGGAAAAAGTTTCATTCGATTATTTTGAGCGGTTCTTAAGATATTCAACTTTGAAGTTTTAGCTCAGATTCTGAACCAGGTATCGAAAATTTTCGATAGTACGGAAATCGATAATTCTGATTAAGAATTTGATTCTCTACAAGATGGAAAAAGTTTCAATAAACCAAAAATTGACATCTGGCTCAGAATCTGAGCTACAACTTTGAACCTCGATATCTCGAAAACCGCTCAAGATACCGAAATGACACTTTTTCCATCTTAAAGAGCATCAAATTCTGAATTAGATTAAATCGAATCCCGCACTATCAAAAATTTTCGATACTTCAATCTGATTCAGAATTTGATTCTCTACAAGAAGGAAAAAGTTTTATTCGATTATCTTGAACGGTTCTTGAAATATTGAAGTTTGTATCGGTATCGAAAATTTTCGATAGTTAGGAAATCGATTTAATTTGATTCAGAATTTGATGCTCATTAAGATGGAAAAATTTTCATTTAGGTATCTTGAGCGGTTCTCGAGATATCGAGCTTTGAAGTTGTAGCTCAGATTCTGAGCCAGCTGTCAATTTTTGGTTTAATGAAACTTTTTCCAGCTTGTAGAAAATCAAATTCTGAATCAGAATTATTGATTTTTGAACTATCGAAAATTTTCGATACCTGCTTCAGAATCTGAGCTCCAACTTCGAAGCTCAATATCTCAAGAACCGCTCAAGATAATCAAATGAAACTTTTTCCATCTTATAGAGAATCAAATTCTGAATCAGAATTATCGATTTCCGAACTATCGAAAATTTTCGATACCGATACAAACTTCAATATCTCAAGAACCGCTCAAGATAATCGAATGAAACTTTTTCCATCTTGTAAATAATCAAATTCTGAATCAAATAAAATCGATTCCTGAACTATCGAAAATTTTCGATACCGGGCTCAGAATCTGAGCTACAATTTTCTGAGCAAATTTTTCTAATTTTCAGGTCAAAATCTGGTTCCAGAACCGCCGAGCCAAATGGAAACGGGTCAAGGCGGGCCTGGGCGGCCCGCACCAGACTCAGAAGGGCCGGGACGGTCCGCACCAACAGAAAAATTCGAAACTCGTCGTCCCGATTCCCGTACACGTCAACCGGTTCGCCGTGCGCAGTCAGCACCAACAAATCGAGCGGGCTTTAGGAGTTTTGGCCGGACACGCAGCTTTCCGAGTCGGATTGGATTTTCACGCGTTTCATCCTCATAACCATCATCAGAACCAGCAGCAGCGGTCGCCGCCTCGTTAAATGTAAACGTTTATCTCGGATCAGAAGCGGTTCTGAGTCGTTTTGAGTCATGAAAAGTTGTTCTGAGTCAGTTGGATTAAAAAGGGTTCTGAGTCATAAAAAAAAAACGTTCTCAGTCAAAAAAGTTCGTTCTGAGTCATTGAAGTCGTTCTGAGTTGTGAAAAGTCGTTCTGAGTCATGAAAAGTCGTTCTGAGTCATGAAAAGTTGTTTTGAGTCAATCTGGATTAAAAGCGTTCTGAGTCATAAAAAATCGTTCTGAGTCAAAAAAGTTCGTTCTGAGTCGTCTATTTTGGATCAGAAAAGTCAATTTTACGAAAAATTCGAAACAAATTGAAATTAGGCAACAGATTGGGATTGGGCGTCAAATTTGATTAAATTGGGATTGGGCGTCAAATTTGGTTAAATTGGGATTGGGCGTCAAATTTGGATCAAATCGAAACTGGGATTAGGGATCAAGTTGAATTTTTGAAAAATGACACCCAATCCCAAATTACCCAAATTAGATGCCCAATCCCAATTTAACTAAATTTGACGCCCAATCCCAAAATGACCAAATCGGACACCCAATTCCAAAATGACCGAATTTAACGCCCAATCTCAGTTTAAACCAAATTCGATGCCCAATCTCAAATTTGACGCCCAATCCCAAAATGACCAAATTTGACGCCCAATCTCAGTTTGAACCAAATTTCGGTGCCCAATCTCAAATTTGACGCCCAATCCCCAAATGACGCCCAATCATAATTTGATCCAAATTCGGTGCCCAATCTCAAATTTGACGCCCAATCCCAAAATGACCGAAAATTACGCCCAATCCCAAAATGACCAAATTTGACGCCCAAACTCAGTTTGAACCAAATTTCGGTGCCCAATCTCAAATTTGACGCCCAATCCCAAAATGACGCCCAATCATAATTTGATCCAAATTCGGTGCCCAATCTCAAATTTGACGCCCAATCCCAAATTCGGGGCCTGAAACTCCAAAAACCGCGACAAAATCCGAGATAAACGTCGTAGAAATGTAAAAACTCCGTGCAATATTTCTTTTCCCAAAAACTTGAAGTTGTAGATAATATTTTGTACTTTACGTGTGAGTGAATCAAACAACTTGTACTATATTTTTAATGTAAATAAAATAGGAATTTTTTGAGCAATAAAGAAAACTGTATATAGAATTCTATTTATAAAAGGGATAAAAAAAGGACCCCATTAGGCATTGGGGGCGTGTCATTTACATGGAGCTGACGAGTGGTTTTTTCTTTACGTCATCGGGGGGCGGTTTTAATGAGGCGCAGCCGGGGGCGGGGCGATTTTATGTAATCAGCGACAAGGTTAAGGGGAAAATCGACGATATTTTATAATTATTTGACATTGTTATGAGCAATGGTTTATATTTCCGTTAATATTTGAGCAAATTAAATAAACTATATATCATTGGATAGAGCATAAAATTCTCTATAAATCAGTGCAAAATTGAGCTTGATAGTTTAAATAATTTCCCAGCAATTTAGCCTCACAGTTAGAAAAATGTTTTTTATTTCAAATTCTGACATGCTTATGAGCAATCACTCATATCTCCGTTAATATTTGAGCAAATTAAATAAACTATATATCATTGGAAAGAGCATAAAATTCTCTATAAATGAGTATAAAATTGAGCTCAATAGCTGAAATAGTCTCTGAGCAATTGAACCTCAAATTTAGAAAAATGTTTTCATTTTCAAATTCCGACATGCTTATGAGCAATGGCTCATATCTCTGTTAATATTTGAGCAAATTAAATAAACTATATATCATTGGAAAAAGCACAAAATTCTCTATAAATCAGTATAAAATTGAGCTCAATACCTCAAATAGTCTCTGAGCAATTGAGCCTCAAAGTTAGAAAAATGTTTTCATTTTCAAATTCCGACATGCTTATGAGCAATGGCTTATATCTCCGTTAATATTTGAGCAAATTAAATAAACTATATATCATTGGAAAGAGCATGAAATTCTCTATAAATCAGTGTAAAATTGAGCTTAATATCTTAAAAACTCCCCGAGCAATAGAGCTTTAAAGTTGAACTTCAATCAGAAAAATGATTTATTTTTTAAATCCTGAGATGCCTATGAGCAATGGCTCATATCTCCGTTAATATTTGACCAAATTAAATAAACTATATATCATTGAAAAGAGCATAAAATTCTCTATAATTCAGTACTAAATTGAGCTCAATAGCTCAAAAACTCTCCGAGCAATTGAGCCTTAAATTTGAACTTTCTAAAAAGCAAATTGAAAAACTCCCCCACAAAAATTCCACATCACGCTATCTAGATTTATGCATCTCTATGAATGTAATTTGGCTGGCTACCGATAGAATAAATTCCGAAAAATCCCATTAAAATGCAAATCGATTATTGTTTCGATATATTTTTTTTGAAAGTCATCGATATCGATATTTTCATTGAAATTGTCTCTGCAAGGGGTCTTAAGACCGAAAATTATTTAAATAAATTCCATAACAGGAAGTCAATATAGTTAAAATTCCGATGGCGCGCCACTGAACTTGGGCGGCAAATAATTAAATCCTTTTGAAAAAAAAAAAAATGCCGCTCTACGCCCATTGAAATCGTTAATTAGAGATTTGTATCGACACCCGAACGGGAAAAATCGTATGGGGAATAAATTATTTTTTAGGTGACAGTTGACAGTTTATGAATTTTTTTTCATAAATTTCAATCCTTTTTCTATCCGTATTCAAAGTTTCAAGCCGATTCCTTGAAAATTTGGCTCAAAAAAAAATAAAACATCTATCAATGTCAGCTTTTTTAAGTATTTACAAAATGACATTGACTTGAATTTTGGCTCGTAACTTTTTCAATTTCAATCCGATTTCAATGTAATTGGGCTTAAATTGAAGCTGATTGAATTCTCTACAAATCTCTTATTTGAAGTTTCAATGTAGCTTCAATGGTTTGGCAGCTGCAAGGCTTCAAAGTTGATTTTTTCAATATAATGACATTGAAGTATATTTTGGCTCATAACTTTGTTAATTTCAATCCGATTTTGACGTAATTAGGCTTAAATTGAAGCTGATTGAATTCTCTACAAATCTCTTATTTGAAGTTTCAATGTAGCTTCAATAGTTTGGCAGCTGCAAGGCTTCAAAGTTTTTGTAAATTTCAAGCCTTTTTCAATCCACTTGCAAAATTTCAATCCGATGTCATTTTTTGAAGCCAAAAATTCAGACAAAAGACAAAAATAGACATTATTTTTCTATTCCAGGCTCTCGTATTTTGTCTGAAATTTTTTTAGACAAAAAGACAAATTCATGTAGAAAAAAATTCAGGTGAAAAAATTGAGAAAATTTAAGACAAATTGGAGAAAAATTTTCAGACAAAAAGACGTGGTTTTTCTATTCCTGGCTCTCGTATTTTGTTTTTTTTTTTTAGACAAAAAGACAAATTCAAATAGACAAAAATTCAGACGAAAAAAATTAAGACAAATTGGGGAAAACTTTTCAGACAAAAAGACGTAGTTTTTTTATTCCTGGCTCTCTTATTTCATCTATTTTTTTTTAGACAAAAAGACAAATTCAAATAGACGAAAAAATTGAGAAAATTTAAGACAAATTGGGGAAAAATTTTCAGACAAAAAGACGCAGTTTTTCTATTCCTGGCTCTCGAATTTTGTCTATTTTTTTTTCGACAAAAAGACAAATTCAAATAGACAAAAATTCAGACGAAAAAATTTAAGACAAATTGGGGAGAAATTTTCAGACAAAAAAAAAAGTTTTTCTATTCCTGGCTCTTGTATTTTGTCTATTTTTTTTTAGACAAAAAGACAAATTCAAATAGACAAAAATTTAGACGAAAAAATTTGGGACAAATTGAGGAAAAATTTTCAGACTAAAAGACGTAGTTTTTCTATTCGTGGCTCTCGTATTTTTCTATTTTTTTTTAGACAAAAAGACAAATTCAAATAGACAAAAATTCGGAAGAAAAAATTTAAGACAAATTGGGGAAAAATTTTCAGACAAAAAGACGTAATTTTTCTATTCCTGGTTCTCGTATTTTGTCTATTTTTTTATTAGACAAAAAGACAAAAATTCAGACGAAAAAATTTAAGACAAATTGGAAGAAAATTTTCAGATAAAAAGACGTAGTTTTTCTATTTCTGGCTCTCGTATTTTGTCTATTTTTTTTAGACAAAAAGACAAATTTTTAGACGAAAAAATTTAGAATATTTAAGACAAATTGGGGAAAAATTTTCAGGCAAAAAGACGTAGTTTTTCTATTCTTAGCTCTCGTATTTGGTCTTTTTTTTTTTAGACAAAAAGACAAATTCAAGTAGACAAAAATTTAAGACCAATTGGGGGAAATTTTTCAGACAAAAAGACATAGTTTTTCTATTCCTGACTATCGTAATTTGTCTACTTTTTTAAGACTAAAAGACAAATTCAAATAGACAAAAATTAAGACGAAAAATTTTCAGACAAAAAGAAGTAGTTTTTCTATTCCTGGCTCTCGTATTTTGTCTATTTTCTTTAGACAAAAAGACAAATTCAAATAGACAAAAATTCAGACAAAAAAATTTAAGACAAATTGGGAAAAAAAAATTTGACAAAAAGCGTAGTTTTTCTATTCCTGGCACTCGTATTTTATTTATTTTTTTTAGACAAGAAGACAAATTCAAATGGACAAAAATTCAGACAAACAAATTTAAGACAAATTAGGGAAAAATTTTCAGACAAAAAGACGTAGTTTTTCTATTCCTGGCTCTCGTATTTTATCTTTTTTTTTAGACCAAAATACAAATTCAAATAGACAAAAATTCAGACGAAAAATTTTAAAACAAATTGGTGAAAAATTTTCAGACAAAAAGACGTGGTTTTTCTATTCCCGGCTCTCGTATTTTGTCTATTTTTTTTTTTTCAATCAAAAAGACAAAAATTCAGACGAAAAAATATTTAAGACAAATTGGGGAAAATTTTTCAGACAAAAAGACGTAGTTTATCTATTCCTGGATTTCGTATTTTGTCTAGTTTTTTTAGACAAAAAGACAAATTCAAATAGACAAAAATTCAAACGAAAAAATTTAAGACAAATTGGAGAAAAATTTTCAGACAAAAAGACGTAGTTTTTCTATTCTTGGCTCTCGTATTTTGTCTATTTTTTTTAGACAAAAAGACAAATTTTTAGACGAAAAAATTTAGAATATTTAAGACAAATTGGGGAAAAATTTTCAGGCAAAAAGACGTAGTTTTTCTATTCTTAGCTCTCGTATTTGGTCTTTTTTTTTTTAGACAAAAAGACAAATTCAAGTAGACAAAAATTTAAGACCAATTGGGGGAAATTTTTCAGACAAAAAGACATAGTTTTTCTATTCCTGACTATCGTAATTTGTCTACTTTTTTAAGACTAAAAGACAAATTCAAATAGACAAAAATTAAGACGAAAAATTTTCAGACAAAAAGAAGTAGTTTTTCTATTCCTGGCTCTCGTATTTTGTCTATTTTCTTTAGACAAAAAGACAAATTCAAATAGACAAAAATTCAGACAAAAAAATTTAAGACAAATTGGGAAAAAAAAATTTGACAAAAAGCGTAGTTTTTCTATTCCTGGCACTCGTATTTTATTTATTTTTTTTAGACAAGAAGACAAATTCAAATGGACAAAAATTCAGACAAACAAATTTAAGACAAATTAGGGAAAAATTTTCAGACAAAAAGACGTAGTTTTTCTATTCCTGGCTCTCGTATTTTATCTTTTTTTTTTAGACCAAAATACAAATTCAAATAGACAAAAATTCAGACGAAAAATTTTAAAACAAAAAGACGTGGTTTTTCTATTCCCGGCTCTCGTATTTTGTCTATTTTTTTTTTCAATCAAAAAGACAAAAATTCAGACGAAAAAATATTTAAGACAAATTGGGGAAAAATTTTCAGACAAAAAGACGTAGTTTATCTATTCCTGGACTTCGTATTTTGTCTAGTTTTTTTAGACAAAAAGACAAATTCAAATAGACAAAAATTCAAACGAAAAAATTTAAGACAAATTGGAGAAAAATTTTCAGACAAAAAGACGTAGTTTTTCTATTCTTGGCTCTCGTATTTTGTCTATTTGTCTGAATCTTCTTTGTTTGAAAAAGATAAAAATTCAAGAGCCAGGAATAGACAAAAAATTCAGATGAAAAAATTGAAAAATAAAAATAAAATTTAAGACAAAAATAGACGTTTTTTTTTAAGATGAACAAATTAAGAAATAAAAATGAAATTTAAGACAAAAATAGCCGTTTTTTTTTCTGTTCCAGGCTCTCATATTTTGTCTGAATTTTCTTTTAGACGAAAAGAAAAATTCAAAAATCAAAAATTCAGACGAAGAAATTGATAAATAAAAATAAAATTTCTAGACAAAAATAGACGTTTTTTTTTTTTGTTCCAGGCTCTCGTATTTTGTCTGAATTTTCTTTCAGACAAAAAGACAAAAATTCAAGAGCCAGGAATAGACAACAAAATTCAGACGAAATAAATTAAGACAAAAATATTTCGTCTATTTTCAGACAAAAATCAATATTCAAGAGCCGAGAATAGATAAAAAAAATTAATCAATATAAAAATTAAATTGGCTTCTTTTACAAAGATGGCGTCACTATCAAGAAAAATCAATTTAAAAGTAAACTTTAGCTTCTCTTTAACAGATGGCGCCACTTGTAGCTAATCAATAAAACCGCCATATGCAAATTGACATATCGATGTTTCAACAGATGGCGCCAAAATCAACTTTAAGTTACAGAAATCTTCTTTACCGGCCAGAAACAAATTTTTCAATATTTTTAAAAACAGATGGCGCCAAAATCGACTTGAAAATATAATTTTACAGAAACCTTCTTTACCGGCCCAACATTAAAATTGCAGTATTTTCAAAAGTACTTACCAGCAGGAAAATGTTATAGCACGCCACTGCTGTCCCGGCCGCCTAGAAAAACAACGGGAAAATTCAATAAAAAAACACCAAAATTCCATGGAAAACCAGCTACTGACTTGAAAAACAAAAATGGAAAATTTTTGACAACTGATGACAGTACAAGGCCTACTACGGAAATGACACAGTGTTGTCACACATAAAAAAAAAAAGAAGAATCCTAATGAGACAATTTGATCGAATTAAGGCCGCCTCACACAATAACAAATTTAATCCAGGTCAAAATGCACTTTATCGAATTAAGGCCTGATTTATTTAGAAATCAACCCGAGCCCAGTTTAGACGGATTATGAAGCTGTTGCGACTTTTCCTGATTTTTTCCAGCTTTTTAGGAATTCTGGCAACACCGATTTCCGATATTGATACGGTAAGAGACCCAATTTTTCCAATATTGATTAATTTTTATCAATTTTTTCAGATACAAAAAGCGATGCGCCAAGTACCGCAATGGCACTGCATGCGGTACCGCAAGTTCGAGCTGGTGCGACGTTGCCGCAGCTACAAAAACAGCTTACGTTTAAGGAGAAATTAATAAATTAGCTGTCATGAGGGGTTTTCTTTTTTTATTATTATTATTTTACACAATTTAAAAAAACAAAAAAAAAAAATTATTTACAATTTTGACAGCTGACATATCTCTTGTCAGCTGTCAATTGAATTTGGCACACAAATTAGAAAAAAAATTAAATAAATTAAATTACTTACCAACACAAAAAAACAAAAAAAAATAAAAAATTTCTATATCTCTGATGCAGAGAATCTTGTAGAATAAGGGTGGGGGCACTCAATAGTCAATTATCCCTAAAATAATTCAATTAATTAATTGTCAGCTGTCAAAGTGACAGTTACCTGCGACACGAGCGCCCTCTCCAATCCTATACGGAAATTTCGTAGTTCATGTCGTAGACGCTGGCGCGGTCGGGCGTCGGCGGTCGTTGCGTCATCGTATGTGACGTTTGCGGTGACAGTTCGACGTTGTCTGACATTTCTAAGGCCCTGTTTACAATTTTTCATTTTAAAATGGAGTGAGGCTGTGAATCAAATTTTTATGTATGTAGGAATTTTGAGTCACAGCCTCACTTCACTAGGATCAAGCCCGTAAGAGGCTTAAGAGGCTGACAATTTTTTTTTTTTAAATTGTACCAAACTTCGGCTGTCAAAATTTAATTTGACAGTTGAAAATTATTTTTAAAAAAATGACATCTGTCAAATTTCATTAGTTTGACAATTAAATATAACTTAATTTTTACTTTTGTATTAGGTATCGAAATTTAGTTTGACAGTTGAAGATTGTGAAAAAATTTGACAAATGTCAAATATCATTATTTTGACATTTGCGGTAACAGTTCAACGTTGTCTGACATTTCTAAGGCTCTGTTTACAATATTTCGAAAATTATTAAGGGCTTGGTTACGTGGGGTGAGGCTGTGGATCAAATTCTTATGGGAATTTGTGTAGAAATTTTGAGTCACAGCCTCACTTCACTTGCATCAAGCCGCTAAGAGGCTTAAAAGGCTGATTTTTTTTTTTATTGTACCAAACTTCTTAGGCGTGAATTTGACATCGTCAAATGTCATTATTTTGACAGTTAAATATCTTTTAATGTCCATTCAAATCAAAATTTTTGTAACAAAAAACGTAACTTTTTTATCAGCTGTCAAAATTTAATTTAACAGTTGAAGATTGTGGAAAAAATTAACACCTGTCAAATGTCATTATTTTGACAATTGAATACCATTTTTATCTCTATTTAAATTGGAGTTTTTGTAACAGAAAAATCGTAATTTTTGTATCAGCTGTCAAAATTTAGTTAGACAGCTGGAGATTGTGAAAAATTGACACCTGTCAAATTTCATTATTTTGACAGTTGAATATGACTTAATGCAATAAAAAAATCTTAACTTTCGTATTAGGCGTCAAAATTTGGTTTGACTATTGAAGATTGTAGAAAAAATTGGCACCTGTCAAATGTCATTATTTTGACAATTGAATACCATTTATATCACCATTTAAATTGAAGTTTTTGTAACAGAAAAATCGTAATTTTTGTATTAGCTGTCAAAATTTAGTTTGACAATTAAAGATTGTAAAAAATTGACACCTGTCAAATGTCATTATTTTGACAGTTGAATATGACTTAATGTAATAAAAAAATCTTTACTTCTGTATTAAGCGTCAAAATTTGGTTTGACAATTGAAAATTGTAAAAAAAAATGACACCTGTCAAATGTCATTATTTTGACAGTTGAATATAACTTAATGTAATAGAAAAGTCTTAACTTCTGTATTAGGCGTCAAAATTTAGTTTGACAGTTGAAAATTGTAAAAAATTTGACACCTGTCATATTTTATTATTTGGACAGTTGAATATGACTTAATGTAATGAAAAAATCTTAACTTCCATATTAGACGTCAAAATTTGGTTTGACAGTTGAAGATTGTAAAAAAATTGATACCTGTCAAATGACATTATTATGACAGTTGAATCTGACAATGTAATAGAAAAATCTTTACTTCTGTGTTAGGCATCAAAATTTGGTTTGACAGTTGAAGATTGTAAAAAAAATGACACCTGTCAAATGTCATTATTTTGACAGTTAAATACGATTAAATTAAAATTTTTCTAGCAAAAAAATCTTCTGTACCAGCTATCAAAATTCAATTTGACAGCTGAAGATTGTAAAAAAATAACACCTGTCAAATGTCATTACTTTGACAGCTGAATACGATTTAATTAAAAATTTTTTAACAGAAAAATCTCAACTTCTGTACCAACTGTCAAAATTCAATTTGACAGCTGAAGAATGTAAAAAAATTAACACCTGTCAAATGTCATTATTTTGACAGTTGAATACGATTTAATTAAAATTTTTCCAACAGAAAAATTTCAACTTCTGTACCAGTTGTCAAAATTCAATTTGACAGCTGAAGAGTGTAAAAAAAAATTAACACCTGTCAAATGTCATAATTTTGACAAATGATTACGATTTAATTAAAATTTTTCTAACAAAACAAATCTCAACTTCTGTACCAGCTGTCAAAATTCAATTTGACAACTGATGATTGTGAAAAAAATTGACAATTGTCAAATGTCATTATTTTGACAGATGAATACGATTTAATTAAAAAAATTTTAACAAAAAAATCTTAACTTTTGTACCAGCTGTCAAAATTCAATTTGACAGCTGAAGATTTAAAAAAAATTAACACCTGTCAATGTCATTATTTTGACAGTTGAATACCATTTTGATCTCCTTTTGATTTAAAGTTTTTGTAACAGAAAAAACGTAATTTCCGTATCAGCTGTCAAAATTTAGTTTGACAGTTGGAGATTGTACAAAAATTTGACACCTGTCAAATGTCATTATTTTGACAGTTGAATATGACTTAATGTAATAGAAAAATCTTTAGTTCCGTATTGAGCGTCAAAATTTAGTTTGACAGTTGAAGATTGTAAAAAAAATTAATACCTGTCAGATGTCATTATTTTGACAGTTGAATACGATTTAATTAAAATTTTTCTAACAGAAAAATCTTAACTTCTGTTCCAGCTGTCAAAATTCAATGTGACAGCTAAAGATTGTGAAAAAAATTAACACCTATCAAATGTCATTATTTTGACAGTTGGATATAATCTAATTAAAATTTTTCCAAAAAAAAAATCTCAACTTCTGTACCAGCTGTCAAAATTCGATTTGACAGCTGAAGATTGTAAAAAAAATTAATACCTGTCAAATGTCATTATTATGACAGTTGAATACGATTTAATTAAAAAATTTCCAGCGAAAAAATCTCAACTTCTGTACCAGCTGTCAAAATTCAATTTGACAGCTGAAGAATGTAAAAAAAATTAACACCTGTCAAATGTTATAATTTTGACAAATGATTACGATTTAATTAAAATTTTTCTAACAAAAAAATCTCAACTTCTGTACCAGCTGTCAAAATTCAATTTGACAACTGATGATTGTGAAAAAAATTGACAATTGTCAAATGTCATTATTTTGACAGATGAATACGATTTAATTAAAATTTTTCTAACAAAAAAATCTTAAATTTTGTACCAGCTGTCAAAATTCGATTTGACAGCTGAAAATTTAAAAAAAAATTAACACCTGTCAATGTCATTATTTTGACAGTTGAATATAATCTAATTAAAATTTTTTTAACAGAAAAATCTCAAATTCTGTACCAGCTGTCAAAATTCAATTTGACAGCTAAAGATTTAAAAAAAATTGATACCTGTCAAATGTCATTATTTTGAGAGTTGAATATGATCTAATTAAAACTTTGCTAACAGAAAAATCTCAACTTCAGTACCAGCTGTCAAAGTTCAATTTGACAGCTAAAGATTTTAAAAAAAGACACCTGTCAAATGTCAATATTTTGACAGTTGAATACCATTTTGATCTCCATTCGAATTGAAGTTTTTGTAACAGAAAAATCGTAATTTCTGTATCAGCTGTCAAAATTTAGTTTGACAGTTGGAGATTGTACAAAAATTTACCACCTGTCAAATGTGATTATTTTGACAGTTGAATACGATTTAATTGAAATTTTTCCAACAAGTAATCTAAACTTCTGTACCAGCTGTCAAAGTTCAATTTGACAGCTGAAGATTTAAAAAAAATTAACACCTGTCAAATGTCATTATTTTGACAGTTGAATACGATTCAATTAAAATTTTTCTAACAAAAAAATCTCAACTTTTGTATTAGGTGTCAAAATTTAATTTGACAGTTGAGGATTGTAAAAAAAATGACACCTGTCAAAAGTCATTATTTTGACAGTTGAATATGACTTAATGTAGTAGAAAAATCTTTACTTCTATATTAGGCGTCAAAATTTGGTTTGACAGTTGAAAATTGTAGCTAAAATTGACACCTGTCGAATGTCAATATTTTAAAAATTGAATACCATTTTTATCTCCATTTAAATTGGTGTTTTTGAAACAGAAAAATCGTAATTTTTGTATCAGCTGTTAAAATTTAGTTTGACAGTTGAAGATTGTAAAAAAATTGAAACCTGTCAAATGTCATTATTTTGACAGTTAACTACAATTAAACTGAAATTTTTGTAACAGAAAAATCGTAACTTCTATACCAGCTGTCAAAATTTAATTTGACAGTTAGAGATTGAAAAAAAAATTGACACCTGTTAAATGTCATTATTTTGATAGTTAAATACCATTTTTATCTCCATTCAAATAGGAGTTTTTGTAACAGAAAAATCGTAATTTTTTATCAGCTGTCAAAATTTAGTTTGACAGTTGGAGATTGTAAAAAATTGACACCTGTCAAATGTCATTATTTTGACAGTTAAATACGATCTAATAAAAAAAATTGTAACAGAAAAATCTTGACTTCTGTACCAACTGTCAAAATTTAATATGACAGTTGAAGATTGTGAAAAAAAATTGACACCTGTCAAATGTCATTATTTGTAATAAATACAAAAATTTAAAAAATAAAAAACTTACCTAACAAACGACATAGGGCGGCGTCTATTATCAATAGGCGGAGCATTTCCCGCCACTTTCCTATGAATTTGAGGACTAGGGGGCGGGTACACGGCGACCCCGCCCCTAACAGCCGGATGGTACGCGCGCGCAGGCGCATAAACCTGCTGCTGCGTCGGACTGGTCGGGTTCGATCGGTAAAAATCGGGCTGCTGTTGCCCCGCCCCCGAAGGGGACGTGTCTTTCCACATGTACACGCCCCTTTGGGGCGAATTGGCCAACTCCCTAATATTATCGCTTGTCTGATTGGTCCTTGAATAATTCAGCTGTTTCAATTCGCCTTCGGACAAAAAACGCCGTTGCGGGCTGCACTGAGTTTCATAATAGGGCGTGGCCTGGTTGTATTGAGAGGGCGTGGCCTGGCTGTAAGTGGGCGCGGCCTGATTGTACACCCCAATGAAATCGGGCCTGCGCGGTTGCGTCGGCGTACTGGGATTCGATCTGCGAAATGCACAAGCGACTACAGACAGGAAATTGTTTTTTCTAAGGATTCTAGCGGGCGGAGGCGGGGCCGGGATTTTGGGAGGCGGCGGAGGGGGGAGTGTAAGCGCAATTGGTCAAGTCCACCTGGAAAAGAAAGCGACACAAAAGAAAGAGAGAGAGAAAGAGAGATGAGGGTGCGTGTGAGTGGAAATGGGATGACGCTAGAATTTTTTGGAATGTTGCGTGCTCACCTTCTCACTGGGCTAGACATGGCCAGGGGCGTAGGCACGCCCAAGGCTTTGATTCTTTGCTGCATCGTCGGTGACGCCCTCTGTGGACCTGAACGACAATTGAATTTTCTTTTTATTGAATTTTGAATTGCATTTTGAATTAAATTTTGAATTGAATTTTTTGAATTAAATTTTAAATTGAATTTTGAATTAAATTTGGAATTGAATTTGGAATTGATTTTAATGAATTGAATTTTGAATTAAATTTTAAATTGAATTTTTTGAATTAAATTTTGAATAAAGTTTTGAATTGAATTTTAAATTAAAATTTGAATTAGATTTTGAATTGAATTTTTTGAATTAAATTTTGAATTAAATTTTAAATTGAGTTTTGAATTAAACTTTAAATTGAATTTTGAATTGATTTTAATGAATTGAATTTGAAATTGAATTTTGAATTAAAAATTGAATTTTGAATTTAAATTTGAATTGAATTTTGAATTGAATTTTTTGAATTAAATTTTAAATTGAATTTTGAATTAGGTTTTGAATTGAATTTGGACTTGATTTCAATGAATTGAATTTTGAATTAAATTTCAAATTGAATTTTAAATTAAATTTTGAATTGAATTTTTTGAATTAAATTTTAAATAAAGTTTTGAATTGAATTTTAAATTAAAATTTGAATTGAATTTTGAATTGAATTTTTTAAATTAAATTTTGAATTAAATTTTAAATAGAGTTTTGAATTAAATTTTAAATTGAATTTTGAATTGAATTTAATGAATTGAATTTGAAATTGAATTTTGAATTAAATTTGGAATTGAATTTGGAATTGATTTTAATGAATTGAATTTGAAATTGAATTTTGAATTAAAAATTGAATTTTGAATTTAAATTTGAATTGAATTTTGAATTGAATTTTTTGAATTAAATTTTAAATTGAATTTTGAATTAGGTTTTGAATTGAATTTGGACTTGATTTCAATGAATTGAATTTTGAATTAAATTTCAAATTGAATTTTAAATTAAATTTTGAATTGAATTTTTTGAATTAAATTTTAAATAAAGTTTTGAATTGAATTTTAAATTAAAATTTGAATTGAATTTTGAATTGAATTTTTTGAATTAAATTTTGAATTAAATTTTATATAGAGTTTTGAATTAAATTTTAAATTGAATTTTGAATTGAATTTAATGAATTGAATTTGAAATTGAATTTTGAATTAAATTTTAAATTGAATTTTGAATTTAAATTGAATTTTGAATTAAATTTAATCAAATTAAATTTTAAATTGAATTTTGAATTAAACTTTAAATTGATTTTGAATTGATTTTAATGAATTGAATTTTGAATTAAATTTTAAATTGAATTTTAAATTAAATTTTGAATTTAAATTTGAATTGAATTTTTTGAATTAAATTTTAAATTGAATTTTGAATTATATCTTGAATTGAATTTTGAATTGATTTGAATAAATTGAATTGAATTTTGAAATGATTTGAATAAATTGAATTACATTTTAAATTGAATTTTGAATTAAATTTTAAATTGAATTTTGAATTAAATTTTGAAATAAATTTTGAATTAAATTTTGAATTGAATTTTTTGAATTAAATTTTGAATTAAATTGTTTGAATTAAATTTTGAATTAAATTTTGAATTAAATTTTAAATTGAATTTTGAATTAAATTTTAAATTGAATTTTGAATTAAATTTTGAATTATAAAACTAACCCAAATTATTATCAGGCGTAGACCCTCTGGGTCTAGGATGCGGACTGCCGCGAGGGGGGTAGTGGACCGTCCGCACCAATTGGGGGCGGCCAGGCGACTCGTCACCGAACCCGCCCCCTGTAGGCGGTAAAAAGAAGTTACTTTTTGAACCATGTCTTTGCAAGGGCGGAGTCGGTTCACAATCCTGAGACTGCGACGCTGAAGGTTCCATGTCCATCATGTCAATGACGTCTCTGCCTGATGGCGACATCTAGCGGAATGGAAAAATGTAATTTTTGTTTGACATTTTGCTGTCTTTTTCTACCTTATTATAAGCATGCGAGTTGATGTTTCTCACTCCATTACTATTGTCCATATAAGTTTTGACTTGGCTGTCATTTGTAATTGTCGCTATTGGCCCGTGTTGACAGTGTTTCCTTTTTACATTATACTTATAAGGCTTAATTAAGCTTAAAATTAAATTTAATTAAAAACTTAATTAAACTGTTGATTAAATTACCTTGGAAATTGAGGTCCGAATTGGGTGTAGCAACAGTTGTGCCAACAACCTCTGGAAAACGGGTTGTAGCCCCCTTTGAATTTTCCGGTTACTTGTTCGTTGGTTGTTCGACCCCGGGCGACCAAAACCATGTGAAAACCCGTCAACCCAAATATTGGTATACTTAGAACTGCTACAATGCCCATTAGAATCATACTGGGTTGGAATTGTTAAGGAATTTATTTGGTTTTGGAACGTTCCATAATTTTTTTTTTGGAACATCTAATTTTTTTTCGATCTGTTCCAACAAGTTTTGGGAATTTTTAGAAATATTTTAGAATTTTTTGGAACATTTTAGAACGTTCCAGAATTTTTTTGAAACAATCTAAATTTTTTCCAACGAGTTCTCAATCTGTTATGGGAATTTTTAGGAACATTTTAGAAATTTTTGAAACATCCTAGAACGTTCCAGAATTTCTTTGAAACAATCTAAATTTTTCCAACAAGTTCTCAATCTGTTCCAACGATTTTTGAGAATTTTTGGGAGCATTTTAGAACATAATATCAAAATTTTTGAGAACATTTTATTCATTTCAGAATTTTTTTTTGGAACAATCTACATTTTTTCCAACAAGTTTTCAATCTGTTTCAACGAGTTTTGAGAATTTTTAAGAGCATTTTAGAATTTTTTGGAACATTTTAAAACGTTCCAAATTTTTTTTGAAATAATCTAATTTTTTTCCAACGAGTTTTGAAAATTTTTAGGAACATTATACAATTTTTGAGAACATTTTAGAACGTTCCAAATGTTTTTTGAAACAACCTAATTTATTTTCAACGAGTTTTCAATCTGTTCTAACGAGTTTTGAGAATTTTTAGGAACATTTTAGGATTTTTTGAAACAATCTAAATTTTTTCCAACGAGTTCTGGGAATTTTTAGGAACACTTTAAAATTTTTTGGAACATTTTAGAATCTTTTGAAACATTTTAGAACGTTCCAGAATTTTTTTTGAAACAATCTAAATTTTTTCCAACGAGTTTTCAATCTGTTTCAACGAGTTTTGAGGAATATTTTAGAATTTCTTGGAACATTTTAGAATGTTCCAGAATTTTTTTAAAACAATCTAAATTTTTTCCAACGAGTTTTCAATCTGTTCCAACGAGTTTTGGTAATTTTTAGGAACATTTTAGAATTCTTTAGAACATTTCAGAACGTTCCAAAATTTTTTGAACAATTTAATTTTTTTTCAACGAGTTTCCAATCTGTTCTAACGAGTTTTGAGAATTTTTAGGAACATTTTAGAGTTTTTTGGAACATTTTAGTACGTTGCAAAATTTTTTTGAAACAATCTAAATTTTTTCCAACGAGTTTTCAATCTGTTCCAACAAGTTAAAAGAATTATTAGGAACATTTCAAAATATTTGACAACATTTTAGAACGTTCCAGAATATTTTTGAAACAATCTAAACTTTTTTTAACGAGTTTTTAATTTGTTCCAACGAGTTTCGAGTATTTTTAGGAACATTTTAGAACATTTCAAAATTTTTGGGAATATTTTAGAACGTTCCAAAATTTTTTTGAAACAATTTAATTTTTTCCAAACGAGTTTTCAATTTGTTCCAACAAGTTTTGGGAATATTTTAGATTTTTTTGAAACATTTTAGAACGTTCCAGAATTTTTTTTGAAACGATCTTATTTTTTTCAATGAATTTTTAATCTGTTCCAACGAGTTTTGAGTATTTTTAGGAACATTTTAGAACATTTCAGAATTTTTGGGAACATTTTAAAACGTTCCAAAATTTTTTTGAAACAATTTTATTTTTCTCGAAAGAGTTTTTAATCTGTTCCAACGAATTTTGAGAATTTTTAGGAACATTATACAATTTTTTGCAACATTTTAGAACGTTCCAACATTTTTTGAAACAATCTAAATTTTTCCCAACAAGTTTTCAATCTGTTCCAACGAGTTCTGGGAATTTTTAGGAACATTTTGGAACGTTCCAGAATTTTTTTGAAACAATCTAAATTTTTTCCAACGAGTTTTCAATCTGTTCCAACGAGTTTTGATAATTTTTAGGAACATTTTAGAATTCTTTAGAACATTTCAGAACGTTCCAAAATTTTTTGAACAATTTAATTTTTTTTCAACGAGTTTCCAATGTGTTTTAACGAGTTTTGAGAATTTTTAGAAATATTTTAGAAATTTTTGGAGCATTTTAGAACGTTCCAAAATTATTTTGAAACAATTTAATTTTTTTCCAACGAGTTTTCAACTTGTTCCAATAAGTTTTGGGAATTTTTGAGAACATTTTAGAATTTTTTGTAACTTTGGAACGTTCCAGAATTTTTTTTGAAACGATTTAAATTTATTCCAATGAGTTTTCAATCTATTTCAACAAGTTTTGGGAACATTTAAGAATTTTTTGAAACATTTTAGAATGTTCCAGAATTTTTTTTGAAACGATCTAATTTTTTTCCAACTAATTTTGGGAATTTTTAGGACGTTTCAGAATTTTTAGGAATATTTTAGAACGTTCCAAAATTTTTTTGAAACAACCAAATTTTTTTCCAACGAGTTTTCAATTTCTTTCAATGAGTTCTGAGAATTTTTTGGAACATTTTAGAACATTTCAAAATTTTTGGACACATTTTAGAACGTTCCAGATTTTTTTTTGAAAGAATCTAAATTTATTCCAATGAGTTTTCAATCTGTTCCAACAAGTTCTGAGAATTATTTGGAATATTCTAGAACATTTCAGAATTTTTGGGCACATTTTAGAACGTTCCAAAATTTTTTTGAGACAATCTGGATTTTTCCCAACGAGTTTTCAATATATTCCAACAAGTTCTGGGAATTTTTAGGAACATTTTAGACGTTTTTGGAACATTCTAGAACGTTCCAGAATGTTTTAGGAACAATCTAAATTTTTTTAATGAGTTTTTGATCTGTTCCAATGAGTTTTTAAAATTTTTAGGAACATTTTAGAATTTTTTGGAACATTTTAGAACGTTCCAGAATTTTTTTTGAAACATTCTAAATTTTTTCCAACGAGTTTCCAATTTGTCCAACAAGTTTTGAAAATTTTTAGGAGCATTTCAGAATTTTTTGGAACATTTTAGAACGTTGCACAATTTTTTTGAAACAATCTAAATTTTTTTTAATGAATTTTCGCTCTGATCCAATGACTTTTGAGAATTTTTAGAAACATTTTAGAATTTTTTGGAACATTTTAAAACGTTGCAGATTTTTTTTGAAACAATCTAAATTTTTTTTTAACAAGTTTTCAATCTGTTCCAACGAGTTTTGAGAATTTTTTGGAACATTCTAGAACATTTCAGAATTTTTGGGTACATTTTAAAACGTTCCAGAATTTTTTTGAAACAATCTAAATTTTTTTCAATGAGTTTTCAATATGTTTTAATGAGTTTTGAGAATTTTTTGGAATATTTTAGAATTTTTTGGAACAAACGTTCCAGAATTTTTTTTGAAACAATCTACATTTTTTCCAACGAGTTTTCAATCTGATCCAACGAGTTTTGAGAATTTTTAAGTACATTTTAGAATGTTTTGGAACATCTTAAAACGTTCCAGAATTTTTTTGAAACAATCTATTTTTTTTTCAACCTATTCCAACGAGTTTTGAGAATTTTTAGAAACATTTTAGAATTTTTTTGGAAAATTTTAAAACCTTCTAGAATTTTTTGGAAGTGTAAATTTTTTCCAACGAATTTTCAATCAGTTCCAACGAATTTCGAAAATTTTTACGAACATTTTTGAAAATTTAGAAATTTTTTGGAACATTTTAAAACGTTCCAGAATTTTTTGAAACAATCTAAATTTACTCCAACGAGTTTTCAATTTATTCCAACTAGTTCTGCGAATTTTTAGGAACTTTTTAGAATTTTTTGGAACATTCTAGAATTTTGTGAAACGATTTAAATTTTTTCAATTTGTTTTAACAAGTTTTGAGAATTTTTTGGAACATTTTAAATTTTTTTTGGAACATTCTAGAACATCGCACATTTTTTTGGAACAATTTAAATTTTCTTCCAACGAGTTTTCAATCAGTTCCAACGAATTTCGAAAATTTTTATGAACATTTTAGAATAATTTCGAATTTTTTTGGAACATTATAGAACGTTCCAGAATTTTATGGAACAATCTAAATTTTTTCCAACGAGTTTTTAATCTGTTCCAATGAATTTTGGGAATTTTTTGGAACATTCTAGAATTTTTTGAAACGATTTAAATTTTTTTCCAATGAGTTTTCAATTTGTTCCAACGAGTTTTGAGAATTTTTTGGAACATTTTAAATTTTTTTTGGAACATTCCACAATTTTTTGGAACAGTTTACATTTTCTTCTAACGAGTTCTCAATCAGTTCCAACGAATTTCGAAAATTTTTATGAACATTTTAGAACATTTCGAAAATTTTTGGAACATTCTAGAACGTTCCAAAATTTTTTTGAAACAATCTAAATTATTTCCAACGAGTTTTGAGAAGTTTTTAGAACATATTAGAAGTTTTTGGAACATTCTAGAATTTTTTGAAACACTCTAGAAACAAAAATTCAAAACTCGCGTGACACTTCAGGGCCCCGAAAATTCTAGAACAATTTCGAATTTTCCACAAAACCTGTGTGGAACATTCTAGAGTTTCTTGAAACACTCACTGACACATTTTGCCTCATAATTCAATCAATTTGGCTTAAAATGAAATCAATACAAATCTGTCATTTTAACATGTTGACGTTGCAGAGCTTGGTAGCCTCCTCAGACCAAAAAAAAAACAATAAAAATTTGTTTTTAAACAAAAATATAAACAACACAGTGCTTGACCTGGACGGCCATATTGAATTTCTTTTAATGTTATTTGACTTAATTAATCATAGATGGCGCTTTTTAGAAAAAAAATTGAAAATTACAGGGGCTTGATTATGTGAAGTTAGGCTGTGGCCATTTAATTAACACAGCCATAGCCTCACTCCACTTAATCAAGCCCCTAAGAGGCTTAAGAGGCTGAAAAAAAAAACCCAAAATAAAGTAATATTTTTTCAAAAAAGGATACGCCACTATTGGTTCAGTGCTTGTCAAACTTTTCCCATAATTCAGCACGTAAATCAGGCTTAAGCCAAATATACTAATCATATGCAGGCTCAGGGAAATCAGAAAAAAGAAGAAAAACCTGTAATTCCTCCTGCCAATGCAATTATTCACCCAAGGACAGTGATGGTCAAAAGTCTACAAATTAAATATTTAATTAAATTAATTAGTAAAAACAACTAATTAAATTACCTCAATACAATGATTACAAACACTACAATGCGAACATCTAGGGGGCCTGTAAAATTTGCATGTAACGCACCATTTCATGCGCACAGTAATGCCATTTATGTCTGCGTTTTTGTATAAAGGGGCCCTAAAGTCGTCATCTCTGTCTTCGTCAGGGGGGGCTTAAGATAATTATAATTATTTAATTAAATTTAATTAAATTAAATAATACCTTTTGGTATAATTCCAGGATCCATAAAGGTAGCCAAAGTAAAGTTGGCCAATACAAAAAAAGTCAAAACAGCCTGACATCCTGGCACCCAAGGGTGCACAGGCAAATAGTATTGGGCCCTTAAAATTAAATTAATTTAATTAAAATATTTAATTTAATAATAATTAACTTACGGGTAATAGAAAAACAAAGTGGTGGCGACTATGAGTAGAGTCCAGGCGAATGTGGCCGGGACGTAGCGGGTTTTTGTGTCGCACTTGGGCATTTTCCACCCTTTTTCTTTTTCAAAAGGGAAATTTAATTTTTGTGGCCGAGGTCAACATGGCTGTGAAAAACATCTGGCAGCCATTTTGACGTTTGACAGTTAAAGCAGAGATCTTCTTTTTTTTTTTCTGTCTGCCATTTTGTTGTTTGACACTATTTGACAGTTAAAGCAGAAATCTTCTTTTTTTTTTGCCTGGTGCATTCTGGGGCACTTTTCAAACCGTCCGAGGAGCATTTTCGGTCTCTTTGCCTTTTAATAAGATAAACAAGGATAGAAGTACAATACAATAACTCCGAACGTCAATTTGAATTGATTCCGGGCAATTTTGAAACCGCTGATGACGTCATTAGAATTATCTAATTGATTTATTATTCCAGGCGTTTGGCAATTTAGTATACAAAACACGTACTGATGATGACGTCATTGAAATTATTCAATTTTCCCGTTGTTTCTTTTCAGGCGGCCGGGACTTTTAAATATGCAAGAAAAACAGTGGCGTGCTATGCCCTTTTTTTTTTTCAAAAGGAAAATTTAATTTTTGTGGCTGTGAAAAACATCTTGCAGCCATTTTGACGTTTGATTTTGACAGTGTTGACAGTTAAAGTAGGAATCTTCTTTTTTTGTGTGTGTGGTGCACTCTAGGGCAGTTTTAAAATACTTTGTGTTTTTAGGATTTTTGCATTCTGGCAGCCATTTTGTTTGACAATTGAAGCAGAAATCTTCTTTTTTTTTTTGCCTGGTGCATTATGGGGCATATATAAACAATATATTTGTCTTGTTGTAGTGAGGAGCATTTTCCGTCTCGTTTCCTTTTAATGAAAAGAACAAGGATAAAAGAATAATACTGGAAAGTGACTGCATTTAAAATACAAGACAAGTACTGATGATGACGTCATCAAAATTATCTATTTGATTGATTAGTCTAGGCATTTGGCAATCTATGATACATGACACGTACTGATGATGACGTCATTGAAATTATCTAATTGATTGATAATTCCAGGCATTTGACTACCTAGGATACAAAACAAGTACTGATAATGACGTCATTGAGGTTTTTAGGTGAAGTAAAGTTGTGGCCAGTAAATAAAAACAGTCACTGCCTCACTTCACTTTACAAGCCTTTCAAAAATTTATATTTGTATTTTCAATGTAAGTATTGATGATGACGTCACGAAATTAGATGAAAAATGTGACGATTGCAGGCATTTAGCCATTAAAGATACGAAACTAAATTGATGATGACGTCATTAATATTATTAATTATCTAATTGATTGATAATTCAAGACATTTGGACACCTAGAATACAAAACACGTACTGATAATGACGTCACTGAGATGTGCCTACTATGTGAAGTGAAGTCATTGAATTAAGACAGTTACAGCCTCCCTTTCACTTTTAAAAATTTATATCTGAGTTTTCAAAGTAAGTATTTGATGATGACGTCACGAAATTAGATAACGTCATTATTGCACGGATCAAGTATACGAGATTAAACTGATGATAACGTCATTGAAGATTAATTATTCCAGGCATTTAGCTATCAAAAACGGGTACTGATGATGACGTCAATAAAATCAACTAATCGATTGATTATTCCAGGCATTTGGCCACTTAGGATATAAGAAACGTACTGATGATGACGTCATTAAAATTATCTAATAATTGATTATTTTAGGCATTTGGCCACCTATTATACAAGACACGTATCGATGATGACGTCATTTGGCCATTTCTGTAATTGAAAATAATTTTGGAACTGTTTAGAAAAGAGCAACTTTGTGTTCAGAGCTGTTCTAGAGCGATCCAAAAATCATCTCCCAGTTCTAAACTAATTTTCAGTGCGCACAGTTTACTCTAGAACCATCCGGTATAAAATTCTAACCTAAAATAAATTTAAAAAATATAGGTTTTGTGTTCAGAACTGTTCTCAAATGAATCAAGAATCTTTAGAAATGTGCTCCAGAGTAGAAAAAGTAAGGGAACAGTTCTAGAACCATCAAAAAATGAGGATTTCGAACCAGTTTTAGAACACATTGTTATTCAGTGTTGTTCTCAAACGATTCAAGATCAATGAATTCAGTCCTTGATAAGCTTGGAACAATAACAAGCAGTTCTAAAACCATTTGGAGCACGATTTATATCAAACTTTTCGCATTTGTGGCTGTTCTAGAACAATTTGGAGTGGGTGCAGTTGAAAACAATTTTGGAACTGTTCTAGAAAAGAAAAATTTTGTTGTTGTAGCCATCAGAACAGTTCTAAATCCACCCTCAGTTCAGCGCAATTTACTCTAGAACCATTCTAAAACAATCAAGAATAAATTCTAACCTAAAATAAGTTACTTGCTGTTCTAGAGTGGGTTTATAGAAGTACTCGAAAAGACTTGAAAATGGTGGAAAACACAATTTGCTTACTAAAAAACCGAGCTCCAGAGTGAGTTTTTAAAATTGTTCGGAACAATTCAGAGCAATAACCAACATCCTTATTGGAACATCTTCAAGGCCACACGCCGAAGAAAACACTCAAATTGAACACTTTATAAGTGCCCCAGAGTAAACTATAAATGAAAGACTCACTTCGAAACTGTTCTAGAGTGAGTTTGTAGAAGTACTCTGGATAATTTAGAACAATGAAAAATGCACAGTGACCTTTCAAAAAGTGTGTAGTAAAAAGAATCTGGCCTTAAAACTGTTCGGAACAACTAAAAAGTAGCTCCAAAGTGTTCTAAACTGTCCCTGGAGCATATAAAAATTAGTTTAGTTTTTGTGTTTAAAACTGTTCTAGAGTAGGAAAGGTAATGGCACCAATTAAAAACTCGATTTATATCAAGATTTGGGACAAAACGTGACTGTTCTAGAACAATCCAAAGTATATACAACACTGTGCCGAAACTGCCCAGAACAGTTCCAAATCAGCATCTAGTTTACTCCAGAACAATTATGGCCTAATTATGAAAATTCTTGCACTGTCTGTGTTTTAATTGTTTTAATTTCATTTTAGATTCTGAATTAGTCCCTCGGAGCACAATAAACTTTCTATTCTTTGCTCTAAGTTCATTTCGAACCAATTACAATTTAACTCTACACTGATTCCGAATGTTTAAATTTATTCTATTGCTGTTCCAAACTCGAGATTAGTGTCCTGGATCATAATAGAATTACTCTTTTTTGATTTAGAACACGCTTTTTTGGTTCTTTGTTCAACTAGAACTAGTTCTATTTGTTCTAAGGATTCACCACAAACCTAAAGACTTACCAAAATCTTCCAGTGTTCTGGATTGACTCTTAATTGATTCTAATTTGAAATGGAACCTCTGGAGTCTACTCTGTTTACTCCTCAATACCTGAACATAAAAAAACTTGCTCTATTTACTGCAAACGAGTCAAAAATAATACAATCCTGAATAACTTGTTTATTAAGAGTAATTCAAATATGACAAATAGAGTAATTACAATTCATGTTTAATTATTCAGAGTGAAACAAATTAATCTTTTCAATGAATTGATTCTACTCTACTCTACAAAAAATCTTGTATTTTGAACAGGTTCAAAATCAAAAATACTCTAGATCACATTGAATTAGTTTGCACTTAATTTAGAACTGATTCTGGATTGAATATAGAATTCTATTTTGGTTACGTTAAATCAATAGAATTTTATTTTATAAAAAGTGTTCTGTGTTCAACTATGGATCGGTTCTACGTATTCCAAGGACTAAAGGTTGGCCAATATTAAATAGTAAACTCTAAAGGTTCTATTTCAATATAGAAGCACTCCAGAGTCGATCTAGAACAGTAAAAATTAAGTGATAGCGAACAAGTTCGGAACAATCTTTAGAACAAATGGAACCAATTTGAAACTGCTCAATATATAAGGCAAGCGCAGTTCAATTCAGATCTGATTCCAAATTAAATCAGAACAAACCTATTCCAAATTAGAATTAATTCAGAATCGGTCTAGACACGGTTCTAAATGAACTGCGAATAAAGAAGAGTAAATTCGATCTTTTCCTTATATTAAGATTTTTTGATCGTTCGTAATTCGGAACAGGTCTTTAGAACATACAAAAACGACTTCTTGTTCTTGAACCGGAGCGAGAAAGTTTATTGTGCTCCAGAGTACTAATTTAAAAGTTTCATGAAGTAAAATTAGTTTAAGATTTTTTTAAGTTCGGAACAGCAATTCTAAAGCTTGGAACATTGAGAATCAGTTCGGAATCAATTTAGAGCAAATTCAAAATGGTGGTTTTAATTGAAATACGAACAAATAAGAGTAAATTCAATGTGTTCTGAATCATTTTTTTTTAGAATTTCATGTTCTTGAACCAGTTCAGGCAGGGTATTTATCTAACAACAAACAAAGTTTTTGGTAAATCTTTAAGAGCTGATTCTAGTAAACAGAGAACCAAAAAAGAGTAAATCCAATGTGATCCAGAGCTTAAATTCAAGATTAGATTGAGTTTTTTCCGAGTTCGGAACAGCAATAGAAAAACTTTAAACACTCAGAACCAGTGAAGAGTCATATTGGAATCGGTTCAAAATGAACCAGGAATAAAGAGTAGACATTTTATTGTGCTCTGGAGCACCAATTTGAAACCCTCATGAAGTGTACGAGTAATAGAGTGAACCAGTTCAGGATTTTCGGAACAACAATTCTAAAACTTAAAACAGTGCGAACTAGTTCAAAGTCAATTTAGAACTGGTTCAAAATGAACTAGGAACAAAGAATAGAAAATTTGTTTTGTTCCAAAAGTCAAATCAGAACCGATTGAACAGAGTCAAAAATAGAATTAGGACAATTTAAATAAAGGTCTTTATTTTCTGAACTTATTTTAGGCTATAATTGTTCTAGAGTTTCAGGCCCAATTTGAATCGATTCGGCATAGTTCCGGCACTAGTTCAATATCGTACATACTCCGGATTGCTCTAGAACAGTCACGTTTTGTTCCAAATCCTAATATAATTTTTTTTTTTAATTGGTGTTATTACTTTTCCTACTCTAGAACAGTTTTAAACACAAAACTTAATTAACTATATATATACTCCAAGGACAGTTCGGAACACTTTGGAGCTATTTTTTTATTGTTTTTCATTTTATTTAGTTGTTCCGAACAGGTTTAAAACTCACTCTGGAGCAAAATTCTTTGTAAAACGTCATTCTGCATTTTTCATTATTCTAAGTTATTCAGAGTACTTCTACAAACTCACTCTAGAACAATTACAAGGCGAGTTTTTCATTCAAGGTGTGACCTTGAAGATTTTATTTATTGCTCTGTATTGTTCCGAACAATTTTAAAAACTCACTCTGGAGCAAGGTTTTTAAGTAAGACAAAACATTCTTCATTCACTCTGTATTTTCCACCGTTTCTAAAGTCTTTTCGAGTACTTTTACAAACCCACTTTAGAACAGCGAGTAACTTATTATAGGTTAGAATTTATTGTTGATTGTTCTAGAGTAAATTGTGTTTAACTGAAAGTGGATTTAGAACTGTTCTAGGAGTAATTTGAATCATCCTAGAACAGCGTGAACACAAAATATCTTTCTTCTAGAAAAGTTACATGATATTTTTAACTGCACTTTCTCCAAATTGTTCTAGAACAGTCACATTTTGTCTCAAACATCTTCATTTTTTGATTGTTGTGGAACTTTTCCATTACTTTTCCTACTCTAGAACACATTTTTGATTAATTTTAGAACAGTTTTGAACCCTAAACTTGTTTTAAAATCTATTCTGGATTGTTCTATAATGATTCTAGAGTAAACTACACGCATTGAGAGTGGATTTAAAACTGTTCTGAGAATGATGAATCGTCTCAGAACAGCTCTGAACACATTTTTTTTTTTATATAAACAGTTCCAAAATCGTTTTCAATCGTACCTACACCAGATTGTTCTGGAATTGTTTGAAAACTGCTCTAAACTAAAAATCAAAAGTATTTAAAAGTGCCAACGGGACCAAAAAACATACCTCGAAACTGTTCTAGAGTGAATTTTAATATTACTTGGAACAAAAAAAGTTATTATTATAAAGCATAAAATTATTGTTTTTATCTTGCTCCAGAGTGTTTTAAACAACTTAGTGCAGCAAATCAAGACTTTTGAAGTATCATAGTAAAGCCAAAAGCCGAAGAAAACATTCAAATTAAACACCATTTCGAGTACTCTAGTGCTAAAAAGCCTTGCTCCAGAGTGAGTTCCAAAATTTTCCTGAACAACTCAGAGCAAGTTAGAGTAGACACTAATTTTTTTTTGTACTTTTATTTTTGTTCTTTTTAATAAAAGAAAAAGATACGGAAAATGCTCTACTTCGATGTTATTTACCTTGCGTTCGGTATTTTGCTCGAAGAGCAGAGCGTGCAGAGCGGAGCCGTAACCACGTGACCAGCGAGCGAACAGAGCAGTTGAACGCTGTATAAAAGTGCCAGAAATTTAAATAAACGAACGCGAATGAGGATACACCGAGTACACTTTTTGAATAAACGAACGGTAAAGTCAAGCTCGGAGAACTCAGACCAAAATAACGAACGCACGGTTAGACCGACTGATGAAGGCATGATGACGTCACCATCAGACCTAACAAAAAATGTAATTTTCTAAAAATTTGAAAAATCAATGAAAAACCGGCACTCGAAATAAAAGCGCGTAGCCATTTTGAAGCTACACTCATTTGTCACTAGATGGAGCTGCAATCGCAAACCCCAAAAAAAAAACATTGAAAATCGAATAAAATAACTAATTAAGGCCTAATTACACTAAAATTAATTATAATTAATATAATTATAAGCCTTTATCATTGTTTTAATAAACCAAGTAGGCTTTGGAATGCAATTAGACAATGGCAATTTTGACACTTGACAGTTGGCCATTATAAGTCAAAAATGGCCCACGCGTTTATATTTCGTCCGCCGGATTTTCTCGGAATTTTCCAGTTTTCAATTGGAAAAAGTACTCTAGAGTGTTCGGAAAAGTGCCCCAGTTCGAATTATGTGTTTATTTTGTCCAAGAATTTTGAATGTTCGATGGAGGCCACACTATAAGGGGTGAGTACCAACAAAGTTGATTTATTGTGTTTGTATGTATAATTTATAGGGTTTGCAAAAGAAATTAGTATTTCTATTTTTTTTATATCAAATGGACATATGTAAACGCTATTAATTTAGTAAGGCCGGTAATACAAATACAGATCCCTGTAATGGCTGTAGGGTTTTTTTAAAGTAATATAGCTTCATATTTTGTGTTATAACTTACTTAAGCCCATCTCTTTCTCTAAGCCTGGCAGAAAAAAAGATAGAAATACATATTTTTATGCCTGCTCGCCTTTTTCTAACATATTAAAACATGAAAACACTATGTAAACTTTACACACAAAAAGCCTAGTCTTATAATGAAATCCATTGGTAAGTTCAGTGTGTATTGAGTGTATTTGTATCCTTTTCTACTAGCATGTGAAAGAAAGTGACGGAAATACATGTTTTTGCACTAATTCTACTAATGGTTTTTGGAATTATAATAATTAATGGAATTTCTTGCACTCACCTCTCAAAACTGCTGCCCCCACTTGGAAATTCAATTTTCCGGATAAAATAAATACAAAATTCTAACCGCGACACTTTTCTGAGCATTTTTATGTAATTTTTCCAATTGAAAACTGGAAAATTCAACGAGAAACCGGCCATTTTGAAACAATAATTGAAGCTACACTCATTGGTTACTAGATGGCGCTGCAATCGCAAACACCAAAAAAATAATTCAAAATCGAATAAAATAATTAATTAGGCCTTAATTAAGGCCTAATTACACTGAAATTAATTATAATTAATATAATTATAAGCCTTTATTAGGTTTTCAATTAACCCAAGTAGGCTTTGGAATATCTTTTGACACTTGACAGTCTGTCATTATAAGCGGATAATGGCCAACGCGTTTATATTTCGTCCGCCCGTTTTTCTCGGAATTTTTCAGTTTTTAATTGGAAAAAGTACTCTAGAGTGCGTGGAAAAGTGCCCCAGCTGAAATTATGTGTTTATTTTATACAGGAATTTTGAGGTTTTGATGGGGGCCACAGTACAAAGGGTGAGTACCAAGAAACTTGATTCATTGTGTCTTTGTGTATAATTTATATGATAAAATAGGGTATTTCTATCTTTTTTTATACCAGGCTTAGAGAAAGAGTTCAACTGCAAACGCTATTAATCTAGTAAGGCCGGTAATACAAATACAGATCCCTGTAACGGTTTTTTCAAAGTGACATGGCTTCATATTTTGTCTCATAACTTCCTTAATTTCCAACCAATTTTGATGAAATTAGGCTCAATTTGAAGCCAATTGAATTCTCTACAAATCACTTATTTAGAGTTTCAGTGTAGGCTCAACAGTTTCCAAAAAAAAACACCCAAATATATTAAATTTACGTATAATTGTAGATTTCAAGCAAAAAAGCCTATTATACTTAATATGACACTACCAACATTATAAAAATAGTGGACAATTACATATTACAAACAATTATTTAATTAAAAAAAAAAAAAACACTCCTAATATTGTTAACATGTAAAAGAAGCAAATATTATTATTCAGATTTGTCTGTCACTTTGTTGACTTGTTCCTTGACCTTGTTCAAAGTCTCATCAATGGTACCGTGGTGCTTCAAAAAGTAAGGCCTCACAATTCTATGGTACAAAGTAACGGAACCATTGTAGTCCGAAGGAATCATCAGCCAAACCATAAATACGCACTTTACCAACCAATATAATGGGAACCAGCCCACAATAAAGTCAGCAAAATACTCTACAACCGAAAACAAGGCAAAAACAACCCAATAAGTGAGCCATTTAGTATCGTCGTCCTTTTTTTTGCTTTCAATTGCATGCATGGACAAGTAGGCTGGATAAACAAAGCCTACTAAGTTGCAGAGCAGCTGGGCAGCGTAACCGAATACCAACCAAAGGCCTACTATAGCAATACCACCTGAAACAATAATAATAATTGCATTATAATTTGAGTCAGCAAAATTTCAAGTTTACATAACTACCTTTAAAATACCGTTTGCTCTGGTCTTTTTCCTCAAGGAAAAAGGCCCTAGCCCCTTGCAAAAACCCCAAAACTACCTGCTCGGTCATTGTGCTTTGTATTACTGAACAAAGCCTTAATTAAAAATCGCGGTTTATAAACTGATAACCATATTGATAAATTATTACTCACCTACGAACACGTATACTCTGTCCACGCCGGTTTTTTTCTCAGCCTGAGCCAAAATCGCAGTCCAAGGCTTGCTAGGGTCCCTCAGGGCTTTGCCCAACTTTTCTTTGATTTCTTGGACTTTCTGAGCCATGATTGATCAGAAAATTAGTTACACAAGAATTTTGGTTCTGAGTTTTATAATGAGAAGAATTTGACAAGGGCAGCTGCTGGTATTTAAAGGCAAAAGAGTAGGGATTTTTTTTTTGACAACCTGCTGACCAAACAACAAGGCCACGTATTGATGACCTATGATATTTTTTGTCCTTGTTTTACTTGCTGTATTAATAAAGGACAACAATTGATTATGTAATTGTGTATTTTGCATGGGCTTGTTAGTGAGGCTGCTATTTTGCATATGGCACAGCCTCACTTTACTCGGTCAAGCCCCGGAGTTGGTTTTTCTGCTCTGGAACACATTTTTCATGGTTCTTGGCACACCGAGAGTGGATTTAGAATTGTTCCAAGTTAATTTTATTGTTCTTGAATCAATATTCAAGTGATTATTATCCTTGTTACATGATGACGTCACCATGATTTGCTTATGGAGTGCTCTCAGTTGTTCGATATTTAATTGGTTTTAGACTTTTTCTACGCTGGAACACATTTTTGATTGTTCTTGGCGCACCGAGAATGAATTTAGAGCTGTTCCAAGTCAGTTTTATTGTTCTTGAATCATTTTGAGTGATTAATATCCTTGTTAGATGATAACGTCATCATAACTTGCCAATGGAGTGTTCTGAGTTGTTCGACATTGTATTATTTTTCAGTACTTTTCCTACTCTGGAACACGTTTTTGATGGTTTTCGGCGCACCGAGAGTGAATTTGGAGTTGTTCCAAGTCAATTATATTGTTCTTAAATCGTTTTGAGCGATTATTCGAGTGATTAATTTCCTTGTTACATGATGACGTTACCATTACTTGCTAATGAAGTGCTCTAAGTTGTTCAAGATTTTATTGTTTTTTATTAGTTTTGTACTTTTTCTACTCTGGAACACGTTTTTGATGATTCTTGGTACTTTGAGTTGTTCCAAATCAATTTCATTGTTTTTGAGCGATAAATAGAATTCTATTCGAGTGATTATTATCCTTGTTACATGATGACGTCACCATGACTTGCTATTGGAGTGCTCTAAGTTGTTCGAGATTATATTATATTTGATCAATTTTGTATTTTTTCTACTCTGGAACTCGTTTTAGATGGTTCTTGGTGCTTTGAGAGTGAATTTAGAGTTGTTCCAAGTCAATTTCATTGTTTTTGAGCCATAAATAGAATTCTATTCGAGTAATTATTATCCTTGGTACATGATGACGTCACCATGACTTGCTAATGGAGTGCTCTGAGTTGTTCGTGATTTAATTGGTTTTGTACTTTTTCTACTCTGGAACACGTTTTTGATAATTCTTGGTGCTTTGAGAGTGAATTTAGAGTTGTTCCAAGTCAATTTCATTGTTTTTAAGCAATAAATAGAATTCTATTCAAGTGATTATTATCCTTGTTACATGATGACGTCACCATGACTTGCTAATGGAGTTGTTCAAAATTATATTATATTTGATCAGTTTTGTACTTTTTCTACTCTGGAACACGTTTTTAATGGTTCTTGGTGCTTTGAGTTGTTCCAAGTCAATTTCATTGTTTTTGAATCGTTTTGAGCGAATATTCGAGTGATTATTAACCTTGTTACATGATGACGTCACCATGATTTGCTTATGGAGTGCTCTGAGTTGTTCGATATTTAATTGGTTTTGTACTTTTTCTACTCTGGATTACGTTTTTTATTGTTCTTGGCGTACCGAGAGTGGATTTACATTTATTCTAAGTCAATTTGATTGTTCTTGAATCGATTAATATCCTTGTTACATGATGACGTCACGTAGGAACAAGTTCTATTTCAAATTAGAATCGATTTAAAACATTAAAAATTGCTCCATCGTGAACCAGTTCAATGTATTTTGATGTTCGGAACAGTAATTGAATTACACGGAACTCTGTATCAGCCAATTATAATTTAAAAAGTTAGTTCGTAATCGATTTAGAACTGGTTCTAATTGAACTTCGAACAAAAAAGAGTAAGTTCAATGTGTTCCAGGTCACAAGATTTTTTGATCGTGTACTAATTCAAGTTTTTATTTGAAACATAATTAGAGCAATTAGAACATTAAAGAGTAATTTGAATAGAGTTAGTGCAAACGGAACAGAATTAGAGCAATTGGAACAATCAGAGTAATTCAAAATTCAAATAGAATCAGTGCAACTGAAACAGAATTGAAGGAAAAACGACAAATTCAAATTAGAACAGTTCGAACAGAGTCAAAAATAAAATTAGAACAATTCGAACACAGAGTCAGTGCAAGTGTTTTTACAAATTAATTTATTGTTAGAGTACATAAATTGAATGATTTAGAGTAGTTACAACAGAGTTAGTGCAGATAGAACAGAATTGAAATAATTGGAACAGTCAGAGTAATTCAAAATGCAAATAGAATTAATACAACTGGAACATAAACGGCAGATTCAGGTCAGAACAGTTCGAGCAGAGTCAAAAATAAAATTAGAACAATTCGAACAGAATCAGTGCAAGTGTTTTTACAAATTCTTTTGTTGTTAGAGTAGATAAATTGAATGATTTAGAGTAGTTAGAACAGAGTTAGTGCAGATAAAACAGAACTAGAACAATTAGAATAGTCAGAGTAATTCGAAATTCAAATAGAATCAGTGCAACTGGAACAAAATTAGATCATAAACGGCAAATTCAGGTCAGAACACTTGGAGTAGAGTCAAAAATAAAATTAGAACAATTCAAACAGAGTCAGTGCAAGTGTTTTTATAAATTAATTTGTTGTTAGAGTACATAAATTGAATGATTTAGAGTAGTTAGAACAGAGTTAGTACAGATAGAACAGAACTAGAACAATTGGAACAATCAGAGTAATTCGAAATTCAAATACAATCAGTGCAACTGGAACAAAATTAGATCATAAACGGCAAATTCAGGTCAGAACACTTGGAGTAGAGTTAAAAATAAAATTAGAACAATTCGAACAGAGTCAGTGCAAGTGTTTTTACAAATTAATTTGTTGTTAGAGTACATAAATTGAATGATTTAGAGTAGTCACAACAGAGTTAGTGCAGATAGAACAGAATTGAAATAATTGGAACAGTCAGAGTAATTCAAAATGCAAATGGAATTAATGCAACTGGAACAAAATTAGATCATAAACGGCAAATTCAGGTCAGAACACTTGGAGTAGAGTTAAAAATAAAATTAGAACAATTCGAACAGAGTCAGTGCAAGTGTTTTTACAAATTAATTTGTTGTTAGAGTGAATAAATTGAATGATTTAGAGTAGTTAAAACAGAGTTAGTGCAAATTGAACAGAATTAGAACAAATGGAACAGTCAGAGTAATTCGAAAATCAAATAGAATTAGTGCAACTGGAACAGAAATAGAGGCTAAAATAGCAAATTCAGGTCAGAACAGTTCGAGCAGAGTCAAAAATAAAATTCGAACAGGGTCATATCCTAGGTAATCAGATGTCTGGAATAATCTAGGGTATATTGATGACGCATCTGAGGTGCCTTATAAAAATTTGCATTATGTTGAGGAATTCAAATGACGTCATAAAGTCATCAAGCAACCTAACATCTTTAGGAATAATTAGTGAACTAGATAATTTCAATGACGTCATTATCAGTACGTGTCTTGTTTCCTAGGTGGCTAAATGCCTGGAATAATCAATTAGATAATTTTAATGACGTCATCATCAGTACGTGTCTTGGTATCATTATTCATAAGTGGCCAAATGCCTAGAATAATCAATAAATTAGATAATTTTAATGACGTCATATCAGTACGGGTATTCTAAATGCAGCTACTCCAGATTATTTTGGTCATATTTTGTTCCATAAATCTAAAAAATCGTGTTCTAGATTGGTTTAGTCAACTTGGAACTGGTGCAAAATGAACTAGGAATAAAGAATAGAAAACTGGATGCTGATTCGGAACTGTTCCGGGGCTGAATTGAATCGTTTTAGCACAGTTCCAGAACTACTTCAATGTCATACATAGAATAGTCACCCTTTGTCCCAAATCCTCATAAAAATCAAGTTTTTGATGTGTTCCAGTACTTTTCTTACTCTGGAACACATTTTTGAAAACAGTTCCGAACAGTTGTTTCAATTGTTCCATATTGTTTTCAATTGCAGCTACTCTAGATTGTTCTAAAACAGTTAGACTTTGTCCCAAAAATCCGAAAAATTTGAAACTGCTCTGTTATTGTTCCAAGTCCATCACTGTTCTAGAATCGTTTAAGAACAGCTCTGAACATACAAATTGGCACAAAATCCACATATAAATCAAATATCCGATTGTTCCGGAACTGTTCTATAATGGTTCTAGAGTATTAAAACGCAATTTTTCTTTATTAAAACTTAACAAATCTGTTCGGAGTAAAAAATCAAAGACACATTCCGGGATTTTGAGTGCACCATTCGGGCCACATCGCTTCAACTTCGAGCCCCCGAGCAACCAACCTGTCTCTTAGAGTAGACAATCGGGTGTAAACGTCCTCTTGAATTCCGAACGTTGTAGTGTCCAGTTCCGGGTCACTCCACATTCGTTCCGCAAACGCAGCTGCTCTGGGCCAGAGTCGAGTGTCCAGATTCGATTCATCTACTTGTTCCGTCCACAAACATGCTTCACCACCTAAAAAAAATGTGTTCTAGAGTCAAAAAAATCTGTTCCAGAGTAACGGAACAATTTCAAAAAGGCAAAAATGTTACTCTAGAACAATTCTGACCTAAAATCTGGTTCTTGTTGAGTCTGAACTGTTGCCAAGGCCTGTGATTGTAGACCACTTGCCAAGGCCTATAAGGATCGCAGGCTGCTTCCCCAGTTTCCCTCCACCTGCCGAATCCACAGTCTAAGTACCAAGCGTCCACATGGGAAATTAGAACCTGGTACCCATCTGCTATTAGATCCGGAGTATCGGACCATTGACTCCCACCCCAGCTCTGAACTGTCATTTGACTCTAAAAGAAATCACCTTTGAAATTTTTAATTTTTTTTTGAAAAATGTTGGTACCTTATTGAGGTACTTAGTAAGGTACGGCCTTTTAGTTAATTTGCTGGACCACAAAATCACATGTGGAATTGGCTGGTTGTCGTTCGCTTTTTGGAGTCGCTCCAGAGCTTTTAGAGTGAACTCGCCCCATAAATCGTGCAAGTCGGAGTAGTTCGTTTTTTGTAAATGTTGGGCCCAACATTCCAGGTTGACCTCGTCACCGCCCAAATGGAAAATTTCCTTTTCGCCGCTCAATTCTAGTAGGTCTCTGGAAATTTTGTGACTTTTGGCAACATTGCACAATGGTTTTATTGGCTGTGAAAGCGCTTTTCCCTAGATTTTAGGGAAATTTGAAGAAAAAAAAATGTTGCAACGATTGTTGTTTTTTCTCTAGATTTAGGAATTTTTTTAATTTTTACTTGAAATTTTATGACGTTTTGCAACACTGCGCAATCGGTTTTATTGGCTGTCAAAGGCATTTTTCCCTAGATTTTAGGAAAATTTTAAAAAGTTGCAATTGCGATTGTCGTTTTTTTCTCTAAATTTAGGGATTTTTATTTGTAATTTCTGAAATTTTGTGACATTTGGCAACACCGCGCAATCGTCTTTTTATTGGTTTTATTAGCTGTCAAAAACGATTTTAGCGAAATTTCAAAAAAAGATTGGAGCGATTGTCGTTTTTTTCCCTAGATTTAGGGATTTTTTATTTTTACCTGTAAACTTTGAAATTTTGTAACATTTGGCAACACTGCGTAATCGTTTTAGTATTGATTATATTGGGTGTTAAAAGTGTTTTTCCCTAGATTTTAGGGAAATTTCGAAAAAATGTTGGAAGTATTGCCGTTTTTTTCCCTAGATTTAGGAATTTTTCAATTTTCATCTGTTAACTTTGAAATTGTTTGACATTTGGCAACACCGCGCAATCGTTTTAATATCTGTTCTATTGGCTTTTTTTCCTAGATTTCAAGGAAATTTCAAAAAAGTTGCAATTGGTATGTTTAACGATTGCTAATTTTTTCCTTAGATTTAGGGATTTTTTTTTTTTACCTGGAAACTTTGAAATTGTGTGATATTTGGTAACACCGCGCAATGGTTTTAATATTGGTTTAATTGACTGTCGAAAGTGTTTTTCCCTAAATTTTAGGGAAATTTCAAAAAAGTTGCAATTGGTATGTGTAGCAATTGCCGATTTTTTCCCTAGATTTGGGGATTTTTGTATTTTCACCTATAAACTGTGAAATTTTGTAACATTTGGCAACACCGCGCAATCGTTTTAATATTGATTTAATTGATTGTCAAAAGTATTTTTCCCTAAATTTCAGGCAAATTTCAAAAAAGGTGCAATTGGTATGTTTTGCAATTGTCGATTTTTTCCCTAGATTTGGGGATTTTTTTATTTTTACCTGTAAACTCTGAAATTTTGTGACATTTGGCAACACCGCGCAATCGTTTTAGTATTGGTTTTATTGGCTGTCAAAAACGTTTTTTCCTTGGTTTGATGGATTTTTTTATTTTTACTTGTAAAATTTGAAATTTTGTGACATTTGGCAACACTGCGTAATCGTTTTAAATAACTGTCAAAAGTGTTTTTCCCTAAATTTCAGGGAAATTTCAAAAAAGTTGCAATTGGTATGTTTGGCAATTGCCGATTTTTTCCCTAGATTTGGGGATTTGGCAACATTGCGCAGTCGGTTCAATATGGGTTTTATTGGCTGTCAAAAGCGCTTTTCCCTAATTTTAGGGAAATTTCAAAAAATGTTTCACGATTGCCGATTTTTTCCCTAGATTTAGGCATTTTTGTATTTTCACCTGTAAACTCTGAAATTTTGTGACATTTGGCAACACCGCGCAATCGTTTTAGCAAAGAATTTTAGTATTGGTTTTATTGGCTCGTAAACGCGTTTTTCCCTAGATTATAGGAAAATTTCAAAAAAACTTACAGCGATTGCCAATTTTTTCCCTAGATTTCGGGATTTTTTTATTTTCACCTGTAAACTCTAAAATTTTGTTACATTTGGCAACACCGTCCAATCGTTTCAATATTAATTTTATTGGCTGTCGAACGCGCTTTTTTCCCTAGATTTTAGGGAAATTCGAAAAAAGTTGCAGATGTTATGTTTAGCGATTCCCGACTTTTTTCCTAGATTTAGGAATTTTTTTATTTTTGAAAATTTTGTGTACGTTTGGCAACACTGCGCAGTCGGTTCAATATAAATTTTATTGGCTGTCAGTAGCGCTTTTCCCTAAATTTAGGGAAATCTTCCTTTTTACCTGTAAACTCTGAAATTTCGTGACATTTGGCAACATCGCGCAATCGTTTTAGTATTGGTTTTATTAGCTGGTAAACGCGTTTTTCCCTAGATTTTAGGGAAACTTCAAAAAAATGATTGTCGAGTGTAGGATTTTTTCCCTAGATTTAGGGATTTTTACCTGTAAATTTTCTCTAAAACATCGTAAACATTGGGATTTTCCGGATTCAATTGGCCGCAAGGCGGTTCTCCACAATAAAGGCTCCACGGACGTTCGTTCACGCAAACTGCCAATTCTCCCAAACCTACGAAAATTAATCAATTAATCAATCAATCAATCAATCAATTAATCAATTGAAAATTCCTTATTGTACTCATTAATAATGGGAAAATAATCAAAAAATGACAGATTAATTATCATCAATGTCATATTTAAAAAATTAATCAATTAATCAATTGATTAATCAATGAAAAATGCTTCATTGTACTCATTAATAATGGGAAATTATTCAAAAAATGACAGACTAATCATCATCAATGTCATATTTACAAAATTAATCAATTAATCAATTGATTAATTAATGGAAAATGCTTCATTGTACTCATTAATAATGGGAAAATAATCAAAAAATGACAGATTAATCATCATCAATGTTATATTTACGAAATTAATCAATTAATCAATTGATTAATTAATGGAAAATGCTTCATTTTACTCATTAATAATGAGAAAATAATCAAAAAATGACAGACTAATCATCATCAATGTCATATTTACAAAATCAATTAGTCAATTGATTAATCAGTCAGAAATGCTTCATTGTATTTAATAATAATGGGAAAATAATCAAAAAATGACAGACTAATCATCATCAATGTCATATTTACAAAATTAATCAATTAATCAATTGATTAATCAATCAAAAATGCTTCATTGTACTCATTAATAATGGGAAAATAATCAAAAAATGACAGATTAATCATCATCAATGTTATATTTACGAAATTAATCAATTAATCAATTGATTAATTAATGGAAAATGCTTCATTTTACTCATTAATAATGAGAAAATAATCAAAAAATGACAGACTAATCATCATCAATGTCATATCTACAAAATGAATCAATTAATCAATTGATTAATCAATCAAAAATGCTTCATTGTACTCATTAATAATGGGAAAATAATCAAAAAATGACAGATTAATCATCATCAATGTTATATTTACGAAATTAATCAATTAATCAATTGATTAATTAATGGAAAATGCTTCATTTTACTCATTAATAATGAGAAAATAATCAAAAAATGACAGACTAATCATCATCAATGTCATATTTACAAAATGAATCAATTAATCAATTGATTAATCAATCAAAAATGCTTCATTATACTCATTATTAACGGGAAAATAAACAAATAATGAGAGATTAATTATCATCCATGTTATATTTACAAAATTAATCAATTAATCAATTGATTAATCAATCAAAAATGCTTCATTTTACTCATTAATAATGAGAAAATAATTAAAAAATTACAGATTAATTATTATCAATGTCATATTTACAAAATTAATCAATTAATCAATTGATTAATCAATCAAAAATGCTTCATTATACTCATTATTAACGGGAAAATAAACAAAAAATGAGAGATTAATCATCATCAATGTCATATTTACAAAATTAATCAATTAATCAATCAACTTACCTTCACGTGGCCCCCAATCCCACCCATTCCCGGCATGGGCGGGCGTATCGACCTCCAAAATCGTCCTTATCCCTCTCACTCTAGCAAACTCAACTAAAGCCTTAACTTCTTCAGGCAAATAAGTCTTTTCCGGCCCGTACGCCCCTGTTTTAGCCAGTTGTGGTACCCTCGGTAGTACCACCGGAAAACTTTGACTGTCACTAAGGTGCCAATGGAAAATGTTTAGTTTTGTGGCTGACATCCCTATTAGAACCCGCTTTAGACTTTCTATTGACATGAAATTCCTTGCAGTATCGATCATGAGCCCTCTATAGGGGAATTTGGGTTTGTCTTGGATTGTGGCACCTTTTAGTACCATTAAGGTTTGTCGATAGTCATCCCACCTGACATAAAACATGAATTTCAAAAATTGTACTAGAATTAGTACATTTATAATTTTTTTAGTACAATTCATGTAAAACATATTTTCACGAATTGTACTAGAATTAGTACATTTATACATTTTTTTAGTACAATTCATGTTTTTTCAATGTTAAACATATTTTTGCAAATTGTACTAAATTTAGTACATTTATAATTTTTTTTTAGTACAATTCATGTTTTTAATAATAATATTGACATAAAACATGAATTTTTAACATTGTACTAGAATTAGTACATCTATAATTTTTTTAGTACAATTCATGTTTTTTCAATGTTAAACATATTTTTGCAAATTGCACTAGATTTAGTACATTTATAATTTTTTTAGTACAATTCATGTTGTAACTTACCATATTAATTGGGCTAAAGTTTCCAAACCGTGGCGGGCCCCAAAGTAAGTCTTAGCCCCAATACTCGCTACAATTTCCTTGTTTTTCGTACATTTCAATGTCAAACTGTAACTTTCGTCGGTTTTTAGTTTCAAGCGAGAGATGGCGCTGTGTGTGATGTGTATGCGCACTATGAATTTGTTTAGGTCGGGCCTTTTGGTGACGTCACTGCGCACTAGGCTTAATACGGTGTCATTGAATGAGGCTAAGGCCTCGTTTAGAAGGGTGGAGTTTGCAAACTGTAGTTGAGCGTGGTTGAAGCTTAAAGCTTTGCTACCTTGAATAATATAGAAATTGTGGTGTAAATGTACTCAGAGAAGAAAATCAGGGGCGTATCATAGGAATTTTTACTCATTTTTTTTACCAAGATTTTACTCATTTTTTACCGGGAATTTTACTTATTTTATTCTACTAATTTTTACCGGAATTTTACTCATTTTATTTTACCGTGAATTTACTTCATTTCATTTTAATATTTTTTTTACCGGGACTATAACTCATTTTTTACCAAAGTATTTTACCGGGAATTTTTCTCATCTTTTTTACCGAGAATTTTACTCATTTTTCGTTTATTTTTCAATTAGTAAAAATTGAGTAAAACTCCCAGTGAAAAATGAGTAAAATTTTCCAGTAAAAAATCAGTGAAATTCTTTGGCAAAATACATATTTCTGGTAGAAAATGAGTAAAATTTCCGGTAAAAAATGAATAAAATTCGCGATCAAAAATGAATAAAATTCTCCAGTAAAAAAATTGTAAAATTCTCCGATAAAGAAAATTGCTGGTAGAAAATGAGTGAAATTCCCGGTAAAAAAAAGTAAAACTACCGGTAAAAAAAATGAGAAAAATTCCTGGTAAAAAAATTAATAAATTCACTGATAAAAAAATGAGTAAAATTCTCCGGTAAAACAATTCCTGATAGAAAATGAGTAAAATTCCCAGTAAAAAAATAAGAGAAATTGCCGGTAAATGAGTAAAATTCCCGCTAAAAAAATTGGTAAAATTCGCTGTCAGAAATTAGTAAAATTCTCCGGAAAAAAAATTCGCGATGAAAAAGATGAGTAAAATTCCCGGTAAAAAAATGAGTAAAACTGTCCAGTGGAAAAATGAGTAAACCTCCCAGTAAAAAATGAGTAAAATTCTCGGTAAGAAATTATCAAAGCTGAGTAAAATTTCCAGTAAAAAAAATTGGTAAAATTTGCATTCAGAAATGAGTAGAATTATCCAGTAAAAAAATTAGCAAAATACTCCGGTAAAAAAATTCTCGGTAAAAAATTAGCAAAATCCTCCGGTAACAAAATTCTTGGTAAAAAAAAATCAGTAAAATGCTCAGTAAAAGATTTCCCGGCAAAAAAATAAGTGAAATATCCGGTAAAATAATGAGTAAAATTCCCGGTAAAAATATGAGTGATATTCTCGGTAAAAAATTAGCAAAATGCTCCGGTAAAAAAATTGTCAATAAAAAATCAGTAAAATTCCCGGTAAAAAAATCAGTAAAATTCCCGGTAAAAAATTAGCAAAATGCTTCGGTAAAAAAATTGTCGGTTAAAAATGAGTAAAGCTTAATTTTTTTCTGGAAAACTATCCAAGGGAAAATTATGAAATTTTCTGAAAAAATAGAGGAAAGTCAGGGGCGTATCATACAAAAATTTCAAATTTTTCCAGTAGAAAATGACTCTAGGAAAAATTCTGGAAAATTAGGGAAATTTTCCCTATTGTATTTTAATTTTTTTCTGGAAAACTGGTAAAGGGAAAATTATGAAATTTTCTGAAAAAATAGAGGAAAGGCAGGGGCGTATCATACAAAAATTTCAAATTTTTCCAGTAGAAAATGACTCTAGGAAAAATTCTGGAAAATTAGGGAAATTTCCCCTATTGTATTTTAATTTTTTTCTGGAAAACTATCCAAGGGAAAATTATGAAATTTTCTGAAAAAATAAAGGAAAGTCAGGGGCGTATCATACAAAAATTTCAAATTTTTCCCGTTGAAAATGACTCTTGGAAAAATTCTGGAAAATTAGTTAAAATTAGGGAAATTTCCCCTTTTGCATTTTAATTTTTTTCTGAAAAACTATCCAAGAGAAAATTATGAAATTTTCTAAAAAATTAGAGGAAAGTCAGGGGCGTATCATACAAAAATTTCAAATTTTTCCAGTAGAAAATGACTCTAGGAAAAATTCTGGAAAATTAGGGAAATTTCCCCTATTGTATTTTAATTTTTTTCTGGAAAACTGGTAAAGGGAAAATTATGAAATTTTCTGAAAAAATAAAGGAAAGTCAGGGGCGTATCATACAAAAATTTAAAATTTTTCCCGTAGAAAATGACTCTTGGAAAAATTCTGGAAAATTAGGGAAATTTCCCCTATTGTATTTTAATTTTTTTCTGGAAAACTGGTAAAGAGAAAATTATGAAATTTTCTGAAAAAATAGAGGAAAGTCAGGGGCGTATCATACTAGAATTTCAACTTTTTCCAGTGGAAAATGCCTCCAGGAAAATTAGCTAAAATTAGGGAAATTCCCCCTCTTGCATTTCAATTTTTTTCTGGAAAACTATCCAAGGGAAAATTATGAAATTTTCTGAAAAAATAAAGGAAAGTCAGGGGCGTATCATACAAAAATTTCAAATTTTTCCCGTTGAAAATGACTCTTGGAAAAATTCTGGAAAATTAGTTAAAATTAGGGAAATTTCCCCTTTTGCATTTTAATTTTTTTCTGAAAAACTATCCAAGAGAAAATTATGAAATTTTCTAAAAAAATAGACGAAAGTCAGGGGCGTATCATACAAAAATTTCAAATTTTTCCAGTAGAAAATGACTCTAGGAAAAATTCTGGAAAATTAGGGAAATTTCCCCTATTGTATTTTAATTTTTTTCTGGAAAAACTGGTAAAGGGGAAAATTATGAAATTTTCTGAAAAAATAGAGGAAAGGCAGGGGCGTATCATACAAAAATTTCAAATTTTTCCAATAGAAAATGACTCTAGGAAAAATTCTGGAAAATTAGGGAAATTTCCCCTATTGTATTTTAATTTTTTTCTGGAAAACTATCCAAGGGAAAATTATGAAATTTTCTGAAAAAATAAAGGAAAGTCAGGGGCGTATCATACAAAAATTTCAAATTTTTCCAGTAGAAAATGACTCTAGGAAAAATTCTGGAAAATTAGGGAAATTTCCCCTAGTGTATTTTAATTTTTTTCTGGAAAAACTGGTAAAGAGAAAATTATGAAATTTTCTGAAAAAAATAGAGGAAAGTCAGGGGCGTATCATACTAGAATTTCAAATTTTTCCAGTGGAAAATGACTCTAGGAAAAATTCTGGAATATTAGGGAAATTTCCCCTATTGTATTTTAATTTTTTTCTGGAAAAGTGGTAAAGGGAAAATTATGAAATTTTCTGAAAAAATAGAGGAAAGTCAGGGGCGTATCATACAAAAATTTCAAATTTTTCCAGTAGAAAATGACTCTAGGAAAAATTCTGGAAAATTAGGGAAATTTCCCCTATTGTATTTTAATTTTTTTCTGGAAAACTGGTAAAGGGAAAATTATGAAATTTTCTGAAAAAATAGAGGAAAGTCAGGGGCGTATCATACAAAAATTTCAAATTTTTCCCGTAGAAAATGACTCTAGGAAAAATTCTGGAAAATTAGCCAAAATTAGGGAAATTTTCCCTTTTGCATTTAAATTTTTTTCTGGAAAACTATCCAAGGGAAAATTATGAAATTTTCTGAAAAAATAAAGGAAAGTCAGGGGCGTATCATACAAAAATTTCAAATTTTTCCCGTAGAAAATGACTCTAGGAAAAATTCTGGAAAATTAGCCAAAATTAGGGAAATTTTCCCTTTTGCATTTAAATTTTTTTCTGGAAAACTATCCAAGCGAAAATTATGAAATTTTCTGGAAAATAGAGGAAAATCAGGAGCGTATCATGCTAAAATTTCAAATTTTCCAGTGGAAAATGACTCCAGGAAAATTAGCTAAAATTAGGGAAATTGCCCCTCTTGCATTTCAATTTTTTTCTGGAAAACTATCCAAGAGAAAATTATGAAATTTTCTAAAAAAATAAAGGAAAGTCAGGGGCGTATCATACAGAAATTTCAAATTTTTCCAGTAGAAAATGACTCTAGGAAAAATTCTGGAAAATTAGGGAAATTTCCCCTATTGTATTTTAATTTTTTTCTGGAAAACTGGTAAAGGGAAAATTATGAAATTTTCTGAAAAAATAGAGGAAAGTCAGGGGCGTATCATACAAAAATTTCAAATTTTTCCAGTAGAAAATGACTCTAGGAAAAATTCTGGAAAATTAGGGAAATTTCCCCTATTGTATTTCAATTTTTTTCTGGAAAACTGGTAAAGGGAAAATTATGAAATTTTCTGAAAAAATAGAGGAAAGTCAGGGGCGTATCATACAAAAATTTCAAATTTTTCCAGTAGAAAATGACTCTTGGAAAAATTCTGGAAAATTAGTTAAAATTAGGGAAATTTTCCCTTTTGCATTTTAATTTTTTTCTGAAAAACTATCCAAGAGAGAATTATGAAATTTTCTGGAAAAATAGAGGAAAATCAGGGGCGTATCATACTAGAATTTCAAATTTTTCTAGTGGAAAATGACTCCAGGAAAATTAGCTAAAATTAGGGAAATTCCCCCTCTTGCATTTCAATTTTTTTCTGGAAAACTATCCAAGGGAAAATTATGAAATTTTCTGAAAAAATAAAGGAAAGTCAGGGGCGTATCATACAAAAATTTCAAATTTTCCCCGTTGAAAATGACTCTTGGAAAAATTCTGGAAAATTAGTTAAAATTAGGGAAATTTCCCCTTTTGCATTTTAATTTTTTTCTGAAAAACTATCCAAGAGAGAATTATGAAATTTTCTGAAAAAATAAAGGAAAGTCAGGGGCGTATCATACAAAAATTTAAAATTTTTCCCGTAGAAAATGACTCTTGGAAAAATTCTGGAAAATTAGGGAAATTTCCCCTATTGTATTTTAATTTTTTTCTGGAAAACTGGTAAAGGGAAAATTATGAAATTTTCTGAAAAAATAGAGGAAAGGCAGGGGCGTATCATACAAAAATTTCAAATTTTTCCAATAGAAAATGACTCTAGGAAAAATTCTGGAAAATTAGGGAAATTTCCCCTATTGTATTTTAATTTTTTTCTGGAAAACTATCCAAGGGAAAATTATGAAATTTTCTGAAAAAATAAAGGAAAGTCAGGGGCGTATCATACAAAAATTTCAAATTTTTCCAGTAGAAAATGACTCTAGGAAAAATTCTGGAAAATTA